GCACCAAAGAAGTAACAGGATGGAGAATTCTCCCATAAGCCAAAACCAGGTGGAAATACATGATTATAGAAATGGGTTAATAATTAAGACAGAGATAGCCAATAAGAAGCCCAACCACCAGCCAACGGTTGTATACCTAATATACCATCTGTGTATTCATTTAGGACTAAAGGGTGGCAGAGTCAAACAGGATGAGGAACATATATATATATATATATATATATATATATATATATATATGTACATATATATGTATATATATATAGAAAAAGAGATTGAGAGAGAGAATGTGTTTATAAACCTTAAGTGTTGAACATCAAAAATTTAAAATCTGTTCTATGATATGCTTCAAAATTCACCAAGTTTTGAGTGCTACATATACCCAAAGTGTCATTGAGAGCAATCTGGATTCCTGAATTTCCATAGTTCAGGTGGACACTTGCCTTAAACTGTGTGGAAGAAGAATACAGTTCAGAACAAGGAGCTACAAAGGATTTTGCTGTTTGGTTGTTTTTGAGGTAGAGTCTTACTAAGCAATTCTCAGAATGGCCCGGAACTCACTCTAGAAGAGGCTGGACTCACACTCACAGAGATCCTCCTGCTTCTGCACCCCAACTGCTAGAATTAAAGGGATGTGCTACCATATCTTAAAAAATAAGTAAGTCTATCATTACAAGCAGTTATGTTACCCAAAAAATTTTCTCTAGAAATATAAGTAAAAGCAGTGCCTATACTTCACAAATGTCTACTCACAGAATATTTTAAAGGTAAAGTGAGATGAAAAGATAACATATGGGAGAATTTAGAGTAATGAAAATGTTTAAATACTATGCTTCCTCCTCCTCCCCCTGGAAGGAAAGGTGAGGTTCTGAAGAGACCCTCCAACACAGTTGGAGGAGAGAGAATAGCTCCTTTCAGTGAAGGTCAGCACAGTATATAGGGACCATATGGGGAGTGCTCTGGAATAATTAAAACAGCAGTTGTATGTACAAGGTCCTTTTGTGCACCAGGAATATATCCTGGTTCCACTGCCTGAGGTCCCTTAGACTGTGCAGTCCTTCTAGCTGAGACCCATATTCCCATGGAGGGCACTCCCTTATCCTAGAGACAGGAAAGAAATCCTAGTCCCTACTTCAAATGACTTGACAGATTTACATGACCCCACCTGGATGGCATTGCCCTACATGTGGAATTGGGGTAGGGGGATGGGAGGGGAGGGTGGCCAGTGTACATGTGAACAGGGAGAGAGTGTAAGAGGTAGGGAGGGAGGGAGGGAGGGAGAGGGAGGGAACTGGGATAGACATCTAAAAGAAAATAATAGTGACAATGATAATAACAGCAGTCTTAAATGCAGATCAAATTAGCTGAATCATAAGTCAGAATCACATTCCGCAGCTCTCATCGTGTTATCCTACTGTCTGTCAGCTTATGTCTAATATGTGCCCTGAACACTACACAGATTTCAACAGAGCATGGTGTTTTTGAAGCTTTTCAACAAATTAGATGTTTATTAAAATAACAGCATAAATATTCACACCTTGAATTCCCTCAGCTTTACACCTATGTAAAGAATTCTGATATTTTCAAGGTTTTCTTTTTAAATTGGCGTGTGTGTGTGTGTGTGTGTGTGTGTGTGTGTGTGTGTGTCTTTCTTTCTTTCTTCCTCTTATTCTTTCTTTCTACCTTTCTATCAACATGGGGGTCATGTCCATGCAAGGTACAGTGACCAATGAGGCCAGAGGCATTGGATCCTCTAAAGATGAAGATTACATGGACCTTGAGCTATTCAATATGTGTGCTAGGAACTGAACTCAGGTCCTCTGCAACAGCAATATGTGCTTTTAAAAGCTGAGTCACCTGTTCATCCCAAAAACAGTTCTGATTTTTAAAATATGAAGGTCATAAGTTTGAGTGGAATGGTGCTTATTTTTATATGTGCAATGTGGAAGGCAGGCTACAAGCTCTAGAGAAATTTTACCTGGGTAAATATCACAACTCTCAAGATGTATTTTACATAAAACCCAAACAAAAAAACAACAGAACCACACACAATGCCAAACTATTATCTACTGTATATAGCCACACAAGTTAAGCAAAGGATGCTGGTGCTATTGAGGAGTCAGTAGGATTGACAGAGGATGATGCTTTTTGTGCTTCTTTGTCATTTTTTTGTGTTGCATTTTATTTTGTTTTCTGAAATGGTTTCATTATGTACCCCTAGCTAGCCTGGAAGTGGGTATGCATACCCAATTGCCTGAAAATGAAAATGATTGCCCTGTTTGACTCAGAGTACGATTCAAATGTGCCTGACACCATAGACAGATATTTTTGGAAATTTGTGACCATATACTTCCCAATAATCCAACTTTGAAGGTGATGTTAGATGTCACTCTGTAAATATGTAAATATGTAAATATGTTTCTCATACTGGTTAATGAATAAAGTATTGTTGGTCAATAGGAAAGCAAGACAGGTAGTACTAGGAGACAAGGAGGATTCCAGGAAGGAGTAAGGAGGAGTCAGCATGGAGAGACTGGGGAGACCAGACGCCGGCCCCATTCCCCGGTAAGATGAAACCACTTGGAAATACTTAGATTAACAGAAATGGGTTAATACTTAAGACAGAGCTAGCCAATAAGAAACTAGTATCTGGCCAACAGCATTATATCAAATATAGAGTTTCTGTGTGTTATTTGAGGCTAGTGTGGTGGTGGGCCCAGGTACCAGGGGGTGGGGGGAACTACTACATACATGAAGGTTTGCAACGTGAAAGTGCTTGATTTAAGTCAGAGCCACATAGGTCATGGCCAACCATGAAATGTTCTAGTCACACAGTTTGGGAGGTTTTATTTTGTTTTGATTTTTAGTTTTTTGAAAGAGCATCTCTCTCCGTGTAGCTCTGGCTATCCTGGAAATCACTCTGTAGACCAGGCTAGACACAAAATCAGAGATCTGCATGTCTTTGCCTCCCACGTGCTAGGACTAAAGCCATACACCAACACTGCCCAACTAAAAGTCAGATTATAAAAGTAAACAAATTCATAAAATACTGTGAAGAATCAGAAATTACTTTTGAATTCTTCAAGTTAAAGACTCAAATATTACCATGCATTCAATATGTAATCCGGATGACTGAGACCCCTATCATTTTACAAATTAATCATTCCCAATTGTGATTATGCTTCCAAAGGTAAAAAAAAAAAATCACCAAAATCAGCAACAAGTGGAACTTAAACACCAGGGAATTCCTGTTTCAAGTACAGTAAATGTTATAGAGTGTGTACCATCCCAATAAATGGTCTACAGAGACGATCAAAGCATGGTTGACCCATCATAGTGACATCATCTATATATTTGTCCCACTCCAAGCATTGTTACTACTTGAAGTCTTCAATATTTGCAGTGTAAGATATATTTACATTTTAGTGAAATATGACTCTCAAAATGATTGCTGATGTCCATAGGTAGTTGAAGGTATATACTACCCATGAAGATTTCTCTTTAATTCCACTTCAACTGGAAAGCGCAATGCAAATGATTAGCTCTTTGGAAGTCATTAAAATGCTAACTTAATAAATCACCAGCAGAGGTACTAAATACATCTTTGAAGGGCTAAGCTCCCTGGGATTATTACAGTCATCAAACTCTAGACCTTTCCTTAACTTTTAAATCAATACTTTGAAATTTGCTACATAATTAAAATAACCATTCAAAAATTCTTAAAGTATTGTTAATATGTAGTCACAATGCTATTCCACTTAAATACTTCTCATTCATTCTCCCCAAAAATAACTAATGGTACCTTATTAATAGCACTGTGCCTTTAAAGGACCTGCCACGACATTTCACTGAGAAAGTGAGATATCAGTCATTTTCATTAATGCTAATAAGCCAAAACCCAGAGTTAATGAAACAATTTCAAATAAAATCATCACTACAAAATCCTAAATACTGTTGGGTGAAAATGTTAATTTAAACTAAACTAAACTATTATATACAATATATATGGATACATGATATGTATTTAAAATATGGGTTAAAAAAAAACACTACCTCTGGCAAATGCTGTCTTTATACAATCAGGTGAATATCCTGCTTTAGTTAGTCTGCAAACAAAGAACAAATATATCTATGTTACTCATCAGAAAGAAACACCACACTTTAGGCAAAGGCCAATTCCAAAGCAGTTCCAATCTCAAAATCTGCTGAAAAAAAAAAAAAAAAAAAAAAAAAAAAAAAAAAAAAAAAAAAAAAAAAAAAAAAAAAACAACCACTGATCTTCCCAGATCCATTTCTACAGTTCCACACTTCTTATGGAGGTCTGGCTTCTTCTTAGAGGTGTTCATGTTTACAACTGGATGTTTCTATAAATTGTACTTTGTTGAGTGCTATCTTACAGAGTATACATACATTCATGAAGTAGAACATACTAGATACACTAGTAGAAATGTGTCATTTTATGACTAAGGAAACTGAGGCAGGGGCTTTAACTGACTCTGAAAGGAAAAGAACTGCTCTGAGTTACCCACACTTCCCCTTGTAAAATTTAAAATTCCACTAAATGAGGAGACTATTGCATTTCTAAAGTTTGTATCTTTAAGTTTTACATTTTTAAACAAGTGCTACTTAATTCCTGTTTCTTAGACTTGAAATAGAACAGCTTTATTTACTTAGGAATGAAGTACTCTAAGAAAGCATCACAGTGTCAGAAAGGCATCCTTTTTTTTGCCCACTCTTGTTTTTTTCTACACTCATCATTCTGTAATGTTTTTACCTGACACTTTTAATAGTGTGACTTGTAAAAACATCTTGAATTGTCCCTGAAGTAACCAAAGAAAAGTATTTCACACAAATTAAACTTCATAGTACTAAAACTGAACAGATATTTTACAACATTATGAAATTTACTACATTTTTAAAAAAAAATTATATTTATAAAGCATTACACAATGAAGAAACTATTTCAAATAAAGTATTCTTATGAATACTTACTTTTGTCTCATCAGAGCATTTTTTCTCTTTAATTCATTGATGTTTCTTTCCAAAGCATGAGCTTCCAGCTTGAAGAAAATAATAGATTTTGAAACTATATCTATAAAATCTCAAATGTCTAGAGCATGATGGCATATAACTTCACAACTAAAAACAGGTTAAGAATCTGCACTTATCTTTTTTCACCCACATAACCATGCCTATTCCAGTGACCTCCATCTCCTGACCTCTGCTAGAGTGCCAGGCCTCTCCCAGAATGCCTATCCATGCAGGACCACCCTGAGTCCCTGCCTACCTGATCTTTGGCCCCCCATCACCGGGACTCTGCTGGAGGTGAATTTGGGACCAGTTCAGGTCCAATCCCTCCCATACACTTCCCTGGAAACTTCCTGGGTAGCCCTGAATGTAGCTCCCACCTACATCCAGTAGCCATCAAGAACACTCCTAGAACTCTGATCCACAAAACCACCCACCCAGAATCTGCCCTCACCCCAACCTGTGCCCTAACTAGACCACTGTACCACTCCTCTCATTGAGCACTGGACCACAGAGCAGGTCCAACAATCCCGCCACCTTCAGGGAACTTCCTGGATCTATTCTGAGCACACTAAACCACATCAAGTCCTCTCCTGCATAATCTTTGAACCCCATCGCCTGGCCTCTGCCTGATACCTTAATAGCCAGGCCTCTGCCGGAGACCAGACTATCCATGCTGGACAACTGAGTCCCTGCCTACCTGATCATTGACCCCAATTGCCAGGCCCCCTGTCTGACAGGTAAGCTCCTAGAGAGTTTGGACCACCCAGAGATACAGACATCGAACTCCTGACACACTTAAGCCCCCTAGGGGAGTAGCATAAACAGGAGAGAAATCCCACATGTACCCATTGGAAGAAGTGAAGGTAAGGTGACAATACAAGAAAACACCTAACAATAGAAAGACAAGAAGGAAGTCATCAGAATCTAGGGAATCTACACCAACTACTAGACCTGAAGACATGAAAGCAGATGAAGCAGAAGAGGAGGACTTAGAAAATATCGTCATAAAAATGACAGAGGCACTCAGAAACTGTATGAGAAAATCCCTTAGAGAAATGAAAGGAAAAACATACAAAAAAAATGGACAAAATGAACAAATTTCTTAAAGAAAGTAAGAAAAGTCAAGAAAAAAACAAACAGATGAAGGAAATAATTCCAACAGTTCAAAACCTGAAAACTGAAATAGAGACAATCAAGAAAACACAATCTGAGGGAATGCTGGAAACAGAAAAATTGCACAAATGATAAGCATATGCAAGCATAACCAACAAAAACCAAGAGATATAAGAGAGAATCTTGGGCACTGAAGGTAAACAGGAGGAAACGATTCATTGACCAAAGAAAATCTTAACTCCAACAATTCCTTAACAGAAAACACCCAAGAAATTTTGGACACTGTGAAAAGGCCAACCCTATCAATAATATGTATAGAAGAACTTGAAAAAGCCAAGCTCAAAGGGGTAGAAAATCATGTTCAACAAAATCATTGAAGAAAACTTACCCAAGTTGCAAAGGATATGTCCATGAAAATACAAGAAGCATATCGAACAACAAATAAACTGGACCAAGGAAAACGAACCCCCGACACATATAATCAAACATATGAATGAAGAAAGAATTTTAAGAGCAGCAAAGAAAAAAGACCAGGTAACATATAAAGGCAGACCAGTCAAAAATACACTGGACTTTTCCATGGAAACTCTCAAGGACCGTAGATCCTGGATATGTGGTTCTAAAAGTGCTAAAAGTCCATGGATGCCACCCCAGGATACTATGCCAGCAAAACTCCCAATCACTATAGAGAGAAAAATAGAACCAGCCAGATTTTCACAATACATATCTACATATCCAGGCCTACAGAAACATCTGTAAAGAAAACTCCAACACAAGGAGGTTATCTAGGCTTATGAAGTCATAGGAAATAGATGATCCAAATTCATCAGAGCCCAACTTAAAAACAGGGTAAATATATTCAGAATACCATGGCCAAAAAAATATCTAAAGCAAACAAGCATTAACAATCAATGGTCCTTACTTTCCCTCAACATTAATGGTCTTAAATCACATATAAAATGACACAGGCTAAAAGAATCTATAGCAGGACAGAATCCATCCTTCTGCTGAATACAAGAAACACAGATAAGCTTCAAAAGCAAACATTAACCCATAGCAAAGGGTAGTGAAAAGAACTTCCAATCAAATGGACCAAGAAGCAAGCAGGTGTGTCTCTCCTAATATCTAATAAGTTAAATTTTTAACCAAAATCAATCAAAACAGATGAAGAAAGTAATTTCGTATTCATCGTAGAGAAACCCATCAGCACAAAATCTCAATTCTGGACATATATGTCCCAAATACAAAGGCACCCACATTTGTAAGAGAAGCACTACTAAAACTCAAAGTTTACATAAAACCTCACATACAGTGTGAGAATTCAACACCCCAATCTCACCACTAGACATTTCCACCAGACACAAACTTAACAAATAAACAAAAGAACTAACAGAAGTTATGTCTCAATTGGGTTTAGCAGTCATCTATAGAACATTCCAACCAAACGCAAAAGAATGTACCTTCCTCTCTGCTCCACATGGAACCTTACCTAAAATCTACCACATACTCGGCAGCATAACAAACCTCAACAGATACAAAAAATTGGAATAGTCCACTGTATTTTATCAGACCACCATGCTTTCAAACTGGAATTCAACAACAACACACCTCGCAGAAATCCTACAAATTCACAGAAACTGAATAAGGCACAATTGCACCTGGATCACAAAAGAAATAATGAAAGAAATGGAGAACTTCCTAGAATTCAACAAGAATGAGGACACAACATATGCGAACTTATCGGACACCTTGAAAGTGTGCTATGAGGGAAGTTCATTGCGCTAAGTGCCCATATGAAGAAAACTGCGAATAGTCACATTAGAGAATTAACAGCAAAGCTGAAAGCCCTAGAACAAAAAGAAGCAAACTCACCCCAGAGGTATAGAAGCAAGGAAATAATTTGAGGGCTGAAATCAATAAAGTAGAATCCTGGAAAACAATACAAAAATCAATGCAATAAAGAGTTCACATTTTGAGGAAATGAACAAGATAGACAAATCTTTATCCAAACTAACACAAAAGCAGAGAGAGAATACACAAAATAACAAAATCAGAAACAAGAAAGGAGACATAACAACCGACACTGGGGAAATCCAGGCAATTTTCAGGTCATACTTTGAAGCCCTATGCTCCATAAAATTTAAAAACTCAAAGTAAATGGACAAATTTCTCAATAACTATCACTAACTAAAATTAAATCAAGAACAGATGAGCACCTTAAAAATACCTATAATCCCTACTGAAATAGAGGCAGTCATTGGAAGCCTCCCAACCAAAAAAAAGTCCAGGGCCAGATGGCTTCAGTGCTGAATTCTACCATGAATTCCAGCTAAAGCTAATAACATAACTCGACAAAATTTTTCACAGAATAGAAATAGAATGTTCATTACCAAGCTCCTTTTGCAAGGCCACAATTACCTTGGTAACTAAGCCAAGAGAAGACACAAAAAAGAGAACTACAGACCAATATCCCTCATGAATATTGATTCAATAAAGTACTGGAAAATTGAATCCAAGAACATATCAGAGAAATCATCCAACATGACTAAATAGGCTTCATCCCTGGGTTACAGGGACAGGTCAACATATGAAAATCTATCAATGTGTTCTACTATATAAACAAACTGAAAAAGAAAAACAATGTAATCATCTCACTGGATACTGAAAAAGCCTTTGAGAAAATCCAATACCTTTCATGATAGAGGTCTTGGAGAGATCAGGGATAACAGGAACATACCTAAATGAATAAAAGCAATATACAGTAAACCAACAGCCAACATCAAACAGAGTGGAGAGGAGATTAAGGCAATTCCTCTAAAATCAGGAACAAGACAAAGCTGCCCTCTTACTGTCAATATCTCTTCAATAATGTACTTGAAGTTCTAGTTAAAGCAATAAGACAACAAAAGGAGATCAAGAGGATACAAATTGGAAACAAACAAGTCAATCTGTCACTATTTGCAGATAATATGATAGTTTGGGGGATAAGTGTACTACCAGGAAATTCCTACCACTGATAAACACCTTCAGCAAACTAGCAGGTTACAAGATAAACTCAAAAAAATCAGTAGCCCTACTTTATTCAGACGCACAAAGAGGTAGAGAAAGAAATCAGAGAAACATCACCCTTTACAACAGCCACAAGCAACATAAAGTATCTTGGTGTAATGCTTACCAAACAAGTAAAAGACCTATATAATAAGAACTTTGTGGCTCTAAAGAAAGAAATTAAAGAAGATACCAGAAAATGGAAAGACAGCCCACAGACTGGGAAAAGATCTTCACCAATCATACATCTGAGAGAGGGTCGATCTCCAAATATACAAAGAACTCAAGAAACTAGTCACCAAACATCAAATAACCCTATTAAAAATGGCACACAGAACTGAAGAGAGAAATCTCAATTATGGAAATCAAAAAGGATTCAAGACTCTTAAGAAAGTACTCAACATCCTTAGCTACCAAGAAAATGCAAATGAAAACAATTTTGAGATACCATCTTACCAGAAATACTAAAATTAGGAACACCATGACAACTTATGCTGGAGAGGATATGGAGAAACAGGATAACTCCTACACTGCTGGTGGGAGTGCAAACAAGTACAGCCATTTTATAGATCATTATGGTGATTCTAAGGAAAAATGGGAATCAGTCTATCACAGGACCCAGCAATCCCATACTTAGGCATATACCCAAATGATCCACATCCATGCAAAAAAGATATCTCTTTACTATATTCATAGCAGCATTATTTGTAATTGCAAGAATCTAGAAGCAACCTAGATGCCCCTCAACAGAAGAATAGATAAAGAGTATGTAGCACATTTACACAATGGATTACTACTCTGCCAGAAAGAAACAATGGGATATTGAACTTTGCAGGCAAGTGGATGGAACTTGGAGAAACCATCCTGAATGAGGTAACCCAGTAACAAAAAGAGGGACATGCTACATATTCACTTATATGGATTCTAGACATAGAGCAAAGGATCACTGGCTTATAATTTACAGTGCCAGTGATGAGACTAGGATACAAGACGTTTCTAAGAGATTCATACATGATCTCTCATGGGGGGGACAAGATCTCCTGAGAATATTCAGAGTGGTGGGGCAGTGAGTGCAGAGGGGACTAGGAGAAAGAGAAGGTCAGGAGAGGAAAGCACATGAGACTAGAAAGATTGAGTCATGGAAGGAATAGATGGGAAAAAGACAGAGAGAGAGAGAGAAATACCATAAAAGAGGGAGCCATTATAGGATTCTATAAAAATGATTATAGAGAAATGTACAGAGATGTACAAGTCTCATCCCATTTTACAATTTGAGCAACATTTGCTAGGCTACTATAAATGCCCTTTCCTGATAAGGAGATTGATGACTAACTTATGTACAATCATTTAGCCCTCATCTTGAAGCTGATAGAAATAGAAGAAGATACAAACAGCTAAACACTGTGCCAAACTGGAATCCAGATGCAGATGGAGAGGACAAAACCAGGCTATAGAAACATATAGAGACAACTGACCTAAACAAGGAGGAGCTAATGGGTCCCAGACTGATAGCTAGGAATCCAGCATTTGAACAACTCAGACTCCCTAAACATGGGTCTCAGAAGGCCTGGCCAGTCTAAGAGACCTCTGACTGTGGAACCAGGATGTATCCCTGGTCCATAATAGGATTTTTGGAGCATGTTCCCCAAGGAGGGATACTCCTTGCACCTAGAGGCAAGAGGGAGGGCCTAGTTCCTACTCCAAATGATTTGACAGGTTTAGATGAACCATCCAGGAACTCATCACCCTACATGTGGAGTGGGGAGATGTTATTTGAGGGTGGTGGTTGGGCATGGGAGGGTAGAAGAAAGGGAGCAGGAAAGGATGGAGCAGGAACTGGGATTCATATGTAAAATAAGAAAAATAAATAAATATAATAAATAAACAAAAGAGAATTGGCACTTATTGTAGTCAATATAAATCATTTTCACTTTTGGGAATGATTCAAAAAGGGAATGAGTTTTATGCCAGCCACATGCATAAATGTAAAGCTGGAGTTTCATTGGTACTTGTCAATTAATGTTGCTGTTTAAATGCAATATCAGTGCCTAAAATCATTTGATGATGAAAATATCCAATCATAAGTGGCTAGCAGACTACCTTAGAGCAAAGTCAATGGAAATGGATGGTCCTTAGGTCCATAATACTGGAAACTACAAATGTCTAAAACAGTTTCACAGAATGCCATTACAGGTCATTTTTTAATAGCTAAATACAATCTGTACATATCGCACAACTATTAAGTATAAGACAATTCACAAACACAATTGCAGCAGTTATTATTTGTATCTCTGCATTTGTTGGTAGTGTGCAGCACCATGCCCAGCTTAGTTATAATAAATACCAAGAACCTGCAATACTCTCAAATAATCATTAACAAAAGCCAAACATATGTTATTCTACCTGCTTCCCAGCCAATCTGTTGACTCTACAGATCAGATACAGAATATAGAATACATTAGATAGATCAATTCAAAATGTAAGCTTACCATTTATAAGTAGCAAACACTAACACTCTTCAAATTAAAGGGACTCTACTGTCAATAACTTTGCAATATAGATGAGAATTGACTTTAGCCAATGAATGCACTTAACATCCACCGTAAATATAGCTTAAATATATTTTACTACTATCAAATTTTTTTTAGCTAGGCAATGGTGGTGCACAACTTTAATCCCAGTACAAAGGAGGTAGAGGCAGGTGCATCACTAAGGCCACCAGAATTGCCATCAATACACAAAGAAACCTTGCCTCAAACCCTTGCTCCAAAAAGGATGTTTCTCTCTGTGTAATTATTTTCCAATTGTAATCATAAAATCAATTTTAAACGAAAAGGAATTCAGTACAATACCCTGAGCTAGTAAAATGTTACAATTCACTTAACTGTTTTAAAATTTTACTTAGTTTTATGTGCATAAGTGTTTCTCCTGACTCTGATATACCTGGACTTACAAGGTGCTCACTGTATGACACATAAATATGAAGATGTGCACATGTTATGTATGTGTCCATGCACACACGAGTGTGAGTGGAGGTGTTTTAAGAGGACAGAAGAGGGTCTAAGTTCACCTGGAAGTAGAATGACAGGCAAATGTGAGCCATCTGACTTGCTCAGAACCAAACACAGCTCAGGTCTTCTGGAAGAGCAGCAAGTGCTGAGCTGAAATACTGAGCTCTCTCTCTAACCCCCAAAACTCCTTCTCAAGACTTTGTGATTTTAAAACTAATTATATTCAGAGGGAAATGTACAAGTAAAGCACAAAATAAAAGATTAGTTCTCAGTGCTTCCTATGGTCTGGCCTGTAATATGATTTCAATACTGGTAACATTAATAAAATTCATAGAAAGTGATTATTTTTAAATACCGTCTATACCTTTACCTAATATAAAATGAATAGTATATGTTACGGGACTTAAAAACTTACCCAATAGTCATGTGCCCTTTGTTCATGAGCAATAACCTAAAAAACAGTTATTAAAATTATTCGTAAATAAAAAACATTCATTGCCACCACTAAAATTCATGGCGTAAACCATAATACCCACTGCCTAGGCATCTCTGAAGCACTATAACCATTTTGAAAGCATAATTTCACATATACAGATGATTTTCTCTCCTGAAATTTTTAACAAACCTGAACGTAAGTGTTTTTAATGCCAACAAACTGCAGAAGATGATCAACTACTAGAGTTTCCAAGGAACAGATAACAAGCCCAACATGGGACTGCGATGGTCCAGACATTGCTTTGCTGTATAATACCCATTGCAAAAGAAAGGGAAGTTGCAGAATTTTTTTTATTTCAGTATCGTTGGCTCTCTGGGTATATTTCAGTTTCTCAAAACACATCAGTCGTGATGAAAGCTACAGTCCTGCATCAGTTCTATCCAGTCAGAGTGCTCTAACTGCATATACAGCCGTCACTTGACACACATACCTGCCCTTGATAGGAGCAAATTGTTCTCTCCAATTCTTCTTCGATATCTTTGGCACGCCGTCTACATGGAACAAATAGTTACTCCACTGTGCTGACATATAATAAAGAATAACAGCACGTGGCTACAAGAATATTACTGAGTGTTCTTCCTTATTTAATTATAACCTAAAGACTCCTCTTTTGAGAGATGCTGACAGGTATTAAAGACCATCTTCTCCTCCCCTAGGTCTAATGTCAATTAAACTATGTGAATACTACTACTTGGATGTGCCTAACACAATGTCACAAAAATTTACACAGTACAGAAGGTCTTAAGCAGCCTGTTCAGGGGCTCAATTGCAATCTTACCACGCCCCCATCCTAAGTGCAAAAGTCTCAGGCACATGCAAGCATGCCTCATCATCTGGATTTCATTTTCAGGATTCAAAATCATGAAAGATTAACTCAGATCCTGTAAAATTAACAGATTCCCAGAAAAGGAAATCTTTTTTGTTTGTTTTGTTTTGTTTGTTTTTTACTTCAAGACAGGGATTCTCTGTAGCCCTAACAGTCCTAGAACTGGCTCTGTAGACCAGGCTGGACTTGAGCTGACAGAGATCCACCTGCCTCTGATACCAATGCCCAGCTCAGGAGAGGAACTCATAAGAGGTAAAAGTATAACTAACTTACTGTCTTTATGAAACAAAAAAGTAATTTGTCCTTTTAGACAAAGCCCAAACTTACTCTTCCTAAGGTTGACAGAAGTGTCCTATGACTCAAGTTGCTGTGGTGAGCCTCTAACAGACATTCTAGTGTTTCCTCAGGTCCACTGAGGACTGAACCAAAGACTAGCTAAGCATTTACTAAAATTCTAAGAGTGGCTTGTTCATTTCATGGCAAACTTGCTGGATGCTAGTACTGTGTATATTCTTCCCCAGCTGAAAAAATCTTCATGAATGAGCTTGAATTAACTGCTCATCATGTCCTTCTTGAAGACAGGGTCTCATGGAGTCCAAGCTAGTTTCAAACTCACTATTTAGCCAATATTGGTCTTGATCTTGTGACCATTCTTTTCCACCTCCCAGTGCCAACACACACAACATCCATACCTATTTATAAACTTCTTGATGTTACCATAAAATATGCTTATACTTATATATCAAAATCCCCAAAAAGAAAATTTTCCTTTTTATATTTTCTGAATATCAACAAAATTCCATGAAGCTCAAATACAAAGTAATGAAACAAAAATATGCCAATTCACTGAGTAGTGGTATTAGGGCACACAAGCCTTTAGTCCTAGCACTTGGTAGGCTGAGGCAGGCAGATCTTTGAGTTCAAGGCAAGTCTGCCTCCAGAAAGAGTTCCGGATGGGTCAGGGATACAGAGACCTTGTCTGAGATCAAACAAAACAATAAAGCCATTTTATTTTACTGCTTCCTAATGCCAAGCATCAAAATAAGAAAGAGGATGTCTTACCTATAGGTCTCTAGTTCCTTGTTCACATGGCTGGTTCTCTTGTTCAATTTGAAAAGTTCTTCCTCTTTCTCCAATCTACATTTTTCCTCCACTGTTATTTTCCTTAAAAAAAGAGTTTTTTTTATTCCTTTTAATGTATGTAATCAATATAATCAACTACAATCACAAATGGTGTATCACAGAAAGCAATTGTCATACACCACAGCAAAGGCCATGTGCAAAAAAAGAAAAAAAAAAAAAAATTTGTGAGTCTCCGATATGAAATTTGGCACTGGGCCAAAGAGTGGTTCCAACAAACCCTCCACTTCTGTGGAACTTCCTGGCTCTGCTCTGAACCCACTGGAACCACCTATCCACTCAGGAACACCTTGATGCTAAACTGTCCTAATCTTTGAACCCCACCAACTGCCCTCCGCCAGGGGAGCAATCTCCAAGAGAACTTGGATTATCCAGGGTTGCAGACATCGAACTCCTGACCCACCTACATTCACCAGGACAGCAGGGTAAAGAGAGACAGAAACCCCAGCTTCGCACACTGGAATAAGCGATGGGAAGACAGCAATAGAAGAAAACACCCAACAATAGAAAGAACACTATGATACAACCAGAATCTAGGGACTCCACACCAAAAAGAACTAAACATATCAAAACAGATGAAGAAGAGAATGACATAAAAAAAAAAATTCTTAAAAATAACACAGGCCCTCAAAGATGCTATGAGAAAAAAAAATCCCTTAAAGCAATGGAAGAACTCCAGAGTAATGTGGTTTGATCAAGCCAGACCGCCTCAAACAGAGTAGGAGGTGATCCTACATTCAAAACAGCTGGACAAAGCAGCCTTACAGACTACAGCCAGGATTTGTGAATCTTCTTCGAATCCCCCAAGACAGCGCCCCTTACCAGCAGGAAGTAGTTTGGAAAGAACAACGCCCAAATTCCCAAATATTGTCTATAAATGTTTGTTTTCATTTAAATGGACTTTGTTATATAAAATAAATTAAAAAAAGAGTAACCCACTCATAAAAAGAGGAAATGGTATATACTCACTTATATATGGATTTGAGACATAGAGCAAAGGATCGCCAGCATATAATTCTCACCGTGAGAGAAACTAGTATACAAGGAGGAACCAAAGAATAATACAAGGTCCCTCACAGAAGGGGAAAGGACAGGATCTCCTGAGCATATTGTGAGTGGGTGGGGTCAGTGAGTGGAGTGTCAGGAGAAAGAGAAGGGGAGGAGCAGAGCACATGTGGGACCAGGAAGATTAAATTGGGAGACTAATACATGAGAGAGAAAAAGAAAGATAATATAATAGAGGGAGCCATTACAAGTTTGAAGAGAAAATGGACTCTAGAGAAGTGTTCAGAGACCTACAAGGATAACCCCAATTATCAATCTGAGCAATCGTAGAAAGGCTACCTTAAATTCCCTTCCCTGATAATGAGATAGATAACTAATTTATATGCCATCATTAAGTCCCCATCTAGTAGCTGATGGAAATAGAAGCAGAAACTCACAGCTAAACACTGATCTGAACTCTTGGAATCCAGTTGCAAAGAGGGATGAGTGATAAGAAAATTGGTCAAGACCAGGCTACTGAAACCAACAGATACAGCTAACCCGAACAAGGGTGAGCTCATGGCCCCCTGACTGATAGCTGGGAAAACAGCATTGTACTGAATCATATCCCTGAACTTGGACCTCAGTTAGAAGGCCTGGGCAGTCTAAGGGACATCTGACTGTTATACCAGGATGTGTCCGTGGTGCATAAAAGGACTTTGGGGGCACATTCCCTGTGGAGGAATACTCCTTTAGCCTAGAAGCAGGAGGGAAGTTCTAGATACTACTCCAAATGATTTGACATATTTTGATGTCCCCTCTTGGATGGCATCACCCTCCCTTTAGAGTTGGGGGGGGGATGGGAAGTGAAGGTGTGAGCGGGCCAATAGGGAAGGAGGGAGTGGGAACTAGGATCAAGTTTTATTATAGTAAGTCATTATGTTTGTTAGTAAGAGGGCCAATAACTATAAATATGGCTTGTGTTGTTTTGTTTGGTTTTTATGACAGTGTCTCATAACGTAGACCTGAAAATCACATTGTAAACCAGATTGGCCTCTAATTCACATAGATCCACCTGTGTTTGCTTCTTGAGTGCTTGAAGTAAAGGTGTGTAGACCCAATATTTTAAATTGGTAGTCAAAAATAATAAGAGAGTGAGCCCAATCCCCACAGAGGGATAGTCTCTTAGCTTAGACACATAGGGGAGGACCTAGGCCTTGTCCCAAATGATGGGACAGACTTTGATGATCCACCATTGAAGGCCTCACCCTTTCTATGTAGCAAAAGAAGGATGTGATGGGGTCTTGGGAAGATGGGAGGGAGAGGGAACTGGGATTGATATCTAAAATAATATTGTTTCTAATTTAAACTTTTAAAAAGGAAAAAAGTAACAAGAGAATAAATAATCACAGCACCAGCACTAATCCTGCACTCCTTTTTTCTTTTACTAACGAGTAACAGGTAACTCATTGAACAGTTACTGTGTGCCAGAACTATTACTAGACTTTTCTGTGGGGAATTAAACTAGTCAACAGCCATACAAAACTATTATTTCCATTGCATAAAAATGAAAACAAGGTACAGAGAAAGCAATCATATACCATGTAAAAATAAGTCTCTGAGAAATGAAGCAACAAGGCATTTCATCACTGTGTGGACATCAGAGTATACTTAAACAAACAAATATGGCCAAGAATCAATGGGTGGCATTGTCCTATTTGTGGTTCATTTTGTACCAACATGTTATTATATGACACATGATTGTCACTGGAAGCAGGCTTTGGGAGCATATGGCCTCTTCCTGCTTCTAGTTTTATCTGTCTTCTTCAACTTTAAGGGGGTTATGATCTCTCCTCTTCCTGCTCTAAGAACATGCTCCCATCCTCCCCTCACTATCATTGGCTCTCCTTTGGAACTGTGCACCAAAACAAGTTCTCCCATCTACTAGTTGCCTTGACCTGAATAGTTTGGTATTTAGGGGTTTTTGTTTGTTTGTTTGTTTTCTTTCTGCCATTGTATTTTATCACAGCAACAGAAAAGTAACTAATACAGCCTAAATGTTGAAATTTAAACTCTACTGATAGAACTTCAAAGAGAAATCACATATATAAAGCAGTATACTAAACTCCTAGATTCAAATATTTCACTTCTTCCCAATATTAAACTTAAAGAGCTGAAGATAATGTATCAGTCATGAAAAAAAAAAAAAACAAGAAAATAACATGAATGAAAAGAAGGCAATCTAGAAAATAAGTTAACCAAAATTATAGCCTATAGAGGCAAGAACTTATTCTGATATTTATACAGTTTTACAAAATTTCTATGTCCTACCCTGAAGAACAGCTTGTGGCATAATTCAGCTTGAGCTGTGAGTTGATTCAGAGCAGAATATATAATATAATACTATTAATAACAGACATATTCACTGGGCTTTTTTGTCAACTTCTCACAAACTACAGAAACTTGGCAAAAGAGAATCTCAACTGAGAAAATAACTTCCCAGGACATGCTTGAGGCAAGCCTATGGGCACGTTCTCCATGTCTAATTGATGTAGGAGAGACTCCAACCAATGCAAGTGGTTCCACCCCTGGGTTATATAAGGAAGCTGATCAATGCATGGAAAGCAAGGCAGTAAACAGTCCTCCTCTATGGCCTCAATTTCAGTTGTGCCTAGACATTTCATTATGACCAGTGTGATCAGGACAGCAACAGAAAGTAAAGTAATACATGAAATCACAGTGTGAACACATACAAACAGAACACAATGCATATTTTCACCACTGCTTTGAAAATGGACAGAAAATGTGTTGCACCTTTGAATTTTTAAGCATTACACATTAACTTCATTAACTCATTAACCATTAACTGGCAAATTAGCAAATAATGGGGTCACTGGTTCCTGGGGTAAAACAGGAATACTTCTCTGTTGATCTCTTTTCATGAAACATATCATGTAAAGAATACACAACTTTGAATCCTGTGTAAGTATTTTATTTAAAACTCACCATGGGACTGGAGAGATGGCTCACACCTAAGAGTGCACAAACTGCTCTGGCAGAGGACACAAGTTCAGTAATCAGTACCCACATGGCAGCTCACAAGCATTTGTAACTCTGTTTCAAGGGATCCAACGCCTTCTTTGGGCCTTAGAGAGCACCAGGCACAGGCATTGTGCACAGATATACATACAGGAACTCTCACATACACATAAAATGAAAATAATACTCCATGGGCAGGATCAATAGTTCAGCCATTAAGAAGAGTACATCCTGCTCTTGCAGAGGACATGAGCTCAATTCCCAAGACCTATATCCAGTGACTCATAACAGCATGTTATCTACAATTCCAGGGAGAGCCAACATTTCTGACTTCTACATGCACCAACACTTATGCTTACAGGTGCACACACATTATACATAATTTAAAAGAGCAAATCACTGTTTTGTTTCTTTGTTTTGCTTTGTTTGATAAGATGGGGTTTTTCTATGTAGCTTTGTAGACCAGGCTGGCCTCGAACTCACAGAGATTCAGCAGCCTCTGCCTCCTGAGTGCTGGGATTAAATGTGTGCACCATCCATGCCCAGCATAATAAATCATTTTTTTAAAACTAAATAAAATCTACAATGGTGGAAAACACCTGTTCCAAGCACTTGGGAAGTGACTGCAGAAAGATCAGGAATTATGAGACACAGCTGACTGTAATCAGGGTCAAGCCAGCATGGACTATATGAAAGAGTCTCGAACAAAATAATACACATCTTAGTTCATCATAGTTAACATAAGTTGTAGATTTCCTAAAGTAAATTCCCAACCAACAGCACTGTAAGTTAAGACAAAACAAAGTTAATCTTATACATAGCATTTTCTCCACAAAGTATATTATGGCCTTCTTACCATCAAGAACACGTGACAGCACTCAAGCACATGCTTGGTTTCTATGTGAACAGGTACCTCACCAAATAAACATCACCAAATAAACAATTCTAAAAAGATGAGGTAGTCAGAAAAGACAATTGTTTACAGAATGAGAACTGAAAGAAGTTGCTGTGTTTGCCCTCAACCAGGAGTTCTCACACTGGGCCTCAGAATCTTCATCATTCTCAGTTTACCCATGAAAGGCCAGCAAATCTCTGGGGGAAAACACAGGCTTTAAGGTTACAAACAAATTTAACAATGGACTTTATATCACACACACACACATACATAAATACATGCATACTTAAGGTATGAAGGAATAGGACATACAAGGGACTTCCAAAGGGCAATAAAAGTCAAAGTGTGCTTGGTTTTATAATGAAAACTTTAAACTATAATTCTTATTAGGAAATAAGCAATTGCAAGATTGGTATCTCAAGGGTCTTTTCTCTGCCTCTGGGCATGTCAGGGCAATGTCTCATATTGCCATCAATATTTAAATACACTGAGCACAATTTTATTTATTTCTTTTCATTTTACATATTAATCCCTGTTTTCCCTCCTTCCCTGTTTCCCTCCCTTCATACTCTCATGCCCCCCCACCACACTCCTCTCCCACCCCCTACTCCACATGTAGGGTGATGTCTTCCAGGAGGGGTCATCTGAATCTGTCACATCATTGGGAGTAGGGACTAGGTCTTCTCTCCTGTCTCTAGGTTAAGGGAGTATCCCTCCATGGGGGATGTGCACCAAAAGTCCTTTTGTGCAACAGGTACATATCCTGTTTCCACTGTCAGAGGTCCCTTAGACTTTCCCAGGCCTTCTGGCAGAGACCCATGTTTAGGGAGTCTGAGTCAGTGCAATGCTGGAATCCCAGCTCTCAGTCTGGGGGCCCAGTAGCTCCTCCTTTTTCAGGTCAGCTGTCTCAATGTGTATTTGTAGCCGGTCTTGTCCTCTCTCTCTGCATCTGCATTCCTGTTTTGCTCAGTGGTTACTTGTGGGTGTCTGCTTCTGTTTCCATCTGCTGCTAGATGAGAGCTCTATGATGGTGGATAATACAGTCCTCAATCTTATCATCAGGGAAGGGCATTTATGGTAGCCCTTCCACTGTTGCTCAAATTGTTACTTGCAGTGAGTCTTGAAGGTCTCTGGACATTTCTCTAGGTTCATTTTTCTCTTCAAACATATAATTGCTCCCTCTATTATGTTCCCCCCCCTCTCTCTCTGTCTCTCTCTCTCTCTCTCTCTCTCTCTCTCTCTCTTTTCTATTCCTCCCCTGACTCAATCTTCCTAGGCCCACATGCTTTCCTCTCCTCCCTTTCTCTTCCTCCTAGCTCCCTCTCCACTCACTGCCCCACTAATCCCCATATGCTCAGGAGATCTTGTCCCTTTCCTCCTTCTGTGAGGGGACTTATATGAATCTCTTAGAATCCTCCTTGCATCTTAATTTCTTTGGCAGCGTTAATTATAGGCTGGTGATCCTTTGCTCTGTCTAAAATACATATATGATTGAGTACATACAATTTTATTCTTTTTGTGACTGGGTTACCTCATTCAGGATGGTTTCTTCAAGGTCCATTCACTTGACTGCAAATTTCACGATTCTATTATTTTCTTTTCTGGCAGAGTAGTATTCCATTGTGTAAATGTGCCACATCTTCTTTATCCATATTCTTCAGTTGAAGGGCTTCTTGGTTGCTTCCAATTTCTTGCTATTACAAACCATGCTGCCATGAACATAGTAGAACAGAAGTCTTTGTTGCATGGATGTGGATCATTTGGGTATATGCCTAAGATGGCGATTGCCGGGGCCTGTGGTAGACTGATTCCCATTTTCCTGAGGAACCGCCTTAATGATCTCCAAAATAACTGTACAACTTTGCACTCTCAACAACAGTGGAGGAGTGCTCCCCTTTCTCCACATCCTGTCCAGCATAAGTTGTTCTTGGTGTTTCTAACTTTAGCCAATCTGGCAGCAGTAAGATGATATCTCGTAGTTCCTTTGATTTGCATTTTCCTGGTAGCTAAGGATTGTGAGTACTTTCTTTAGTGCCCTTCAGCCTTTTGAATTTCCTCTATTGAGAATTCTCTATTAAGTTCTGGACCCCATTTTTAATAGGGTTATTTTGTGTTTTGTTGACTAGTTTCTTGTGTTCTTTGTATATTTTGGAGATCAGCCCTCTGTCAGATGTAGGATTGGTGAAGATATTTTCCCAGTCTGTGGGCTGCCATTTGGTCTTGTCAACTGTGTCCTTTGCCTTATAGAAGCTTCTCAGTTTGGGGAGGTCCCATTTATTAATTGTACATCTCAGTGTCTGTGCTACTAGAATTATGTTCAGGAAGCAGTCTTCTGTACCAGTTTGTTCAAAGGTACTTCCCACTTTCTCTTCTATGAGGTTCTATGAGTTTCAGTGTGGATGGATTTATGTTGAGGTCTTTGATCCATTTGGACTTGAGTTTTGTGAATGGCGATAGACATGGGTCTATCTACAGTCTTCTACATACCCTTATCCAATTGTCCCAGCACCAGTTGTTGAAGATGCTGTCCTTGCCCCATTGTATAATTTTAGCTGTTTTGCCCTAAATCAGGTGTTCGTAGCTGTGTAGGTTAATGTCAGAATATTTGATTTAATTTCATTGGTGACCTTGTCTATATTTGTGCCAATACCAGACTGTTTTCAGGATTATAGGTCTGTTGTAGAGCTTAAAGTTGAGGATGGTGATGTCTCCTCGAGTTTCCTTATTGTACAGGATTGTTTTTGCTATCCTGGTTTTTTTTTTTTTTCTTTTTCTGTATAAAGTTGATTATTATCCTTTCAAGGTCATTGAAGAATTGGATTGGAAACCCACTATTTTCCTTTCAGTTTAGGCACTGGGAATATAAATAAAAGTACCATACTTCTTACAGGGTTTAAATTATTGAGAAGTGGAACACATGATGTTTAGAGAACAAAACAAGATGTGATGAGAAATAGCGGTTCAGTTAGGGTACCAAGAAAGTCTTCTTTAAGATGACAGTGGGACCCACATCTGAATGAAACAAAGATTCGAAAATGCAAGCACATAGAACACCACATAGTGAAAAAAATAAAAAGAAGAAAAGAAAAAGCTTGAAAGATGAAAGACCTTACCATACAGATATGCTGGGCACACCAAAAATGAAGAAAGCCAATGGTAATAGATAGCAACAAAGAAAAGAGACATAGTATAGTCTATAGCTTCTCACAAGGTGGGTATGGTAAACTTGGCTCTGAGAATCTTGTTTTAAGTCTGTTTAAAAGCATTTGGGGGGGAGGGTCCAGGAAAGACTGTGACAGTACACACAATTTATGTTTTAGGAGTTATTCTGAGTTTACAGAGAAAAGACAGTGTAGGAAGTTGAGGTATAAAGATATTCATAGGGCTACTGTAATGAACCAACTACTGCTAATGATGGCTTTAACCAGAGTATTAGTAGATGATAAAAAGCCATCAGATTAAAGGTTAAGAAATTTGACAGAATTTGATGATAAGACAAACAAATATGGGACACAAAAGGGGCACTGAAGGATGACTAGCAGCTGCCCGTTCACAAAGACAATGATACTGCCATTTAGTAACTACAACAAGGAATATTAACCAAGACTAACATGCGCAGAAGAAAGCAGTCAGTTTTATATACACCAGGAAGTTCCATCCAAAGACACTACTTAGATTCCCGGACCCTGTGTGTCAGCATGAGTTTAAGGCAATAATCTGATAAATGTTACTAGATACTGAGAAAGGTAGCTTGGGAATTCCAACATATTTACATTTTGTTCTTGAAGAAAAACGTTCAAGACAAAATAACATTCTGAAATGTGAATGATGTAGCCAGGTAATGTAGGGCACTCCTTTAAAACTAGCAGTCAGGAAGCAAAGGCAGGTGGATGTCTCTTAGTTCAAGGCCAGCCTGGTCTACAGAGTGAGTTCCAGGATAGGCTGCAAAGCTACACAGACAAATCCTGTCTTGAAAACACAAACACCAAATTAAAAAAAAAAAAAAACAACATGAATGATTGTATGTAATTGATAACATCCAATAATCAATGTGTAAAGCCTCTAATACATAACATGCATTTAAAGACATTTCACTTGCCATTCACTGGAGTTACCAAACACCTCTCATCTGTGAAGCATCCTTTCATTGTCTTGGTACAGCTCCCTCATCACTGTGATTTTCCTTTGAAGCTTCTGTTTCTCGATTTCAAGTAGTGTATTACCTGACTGCAGAGACACTTGTTCAGACTTGAGACTTTGCATATGCTCTAGACAAGCGTACAAAATCATAAAGAAACAAAATTAAAGGAATTTCATAAAATTAAAAACATATTGAAGATACACAAAATTGGCCAGATCACTGTGACTTCAAAACCCACCTACTTTATAAAGATACACAGAGAAGACCGTCCTGAAAACAAAAATCCTTAGTCACATGCCTAGGGATTTTTAAATGTATATGGAACCACTCAGACAATATACAATTAAAAATATGTCTTAAATTTTTAGTGGCTAGAGAGGTTAAGGGGAGTGTTTGTTTTTCCAAAGGTCCCGAGTTCAGATCTCAGCAACTACATGGTGGCTCACACAATCTGTAATGGTGTCTGGTGCCCTCATCTGGCTTGCAGGTGTGCATCCAGTCAGAACACTGTATACATAATAAATAAATAAATCTTAAAGAAAAAAAGATAATGGACAAGATTGGACATGCCCAGGGACATACAGCTATAGACAATTACTATAGACAACAACAGTTCAGTTACTAGTACCATAATAAATCAGCCTTTTTTCAGTCAAAATTGTTCATGTGCTGTCATTCAAATTAGCTGATAATAAGTGCTCATTTCCACTTTCCTGAGAGACCAAGTCTCAAACAAAATGAAGACTGGAAAGAATAATGACTTTTCCATTATTTCAACTGCTATACTACTGAATCACCCACAAAATTGGGGAGATAGCTCAGTCAGTTAGGTACTGGCTAAACAAACATGAGGACCAAAGTTTGGGTCATGAGCACCCATATAAGACCTGTCTGAGTGCTGGAAAGGGAAAAAACAAGATCCCTAGGGCTCACTGAGCAGCACAATCCAGGTTTAATGAGAGCTTTCTCAATGAATAAGGGGGAAAGCTATTGAAGGAAAGCCTGAAGGACTTTTGTCCTCTATATACATATGAATACAGACACACACAAAATGGATTATCAATTATAAGTGATTGTGAATTCTGTATGAACTAGCATACCATTATTTTTACATATCTCACTTTTCTTTCATTATGATTACTACAACTCTACACAGCTCTAATATTGAAATGAGATCCTCAACTCTGACCTGCTCTAAGGTATCATTCCCAAAACATATGTGAACCAATCGAATACAAGAAAAAAATGCACTATACTTCAAAATGGCAGTTTCAAAATCATAACAAGGAAAAGTTTAGTAACTATATGCAATGGGATGTTATTATTCTAAAATGCAAGCTAAATAAACATATGGACCAAAAGGTTTGTGTCAATACAGTAATAGCAAAGGGAACATATACAGGAAATCATGCATAGGTGACTTCTGCAAAAATTGTAAAGCTATATCAGAAAAAAAAATGCCCATCCATGCTTTCTGCCAAATCTAACAAGTCACTTATCAAGAAATCAATGATCAATATAAGCTGTAATATAATTGAATCATACTAATGCAAAGAAGTCTTACAAAACAACACAAATTATTTTACCATTATACACTCAAGCTCTTTTTTCTAGTGTCTTACTTTATCTCATTTTAAAGCTTTTAAAACTAAGTGTTTGGGAGACATGGAAGGCAGGGGCTCAGAGGGAAGGGGACTTGGAAAAAGTATAGCTCAATTAAAAAAAAAAGTGTGTGTGTGTGTGTGTGTGTGTGTGTGTGTGTGTGTATGTGTGTGTGTGTGTTCACCTGAGCCTGCATGCCCAGGTGGGTAAAGGTCAGAGGACGACTAGCAGGGGTCTGTTCTCTCCTTCCACTGGAGACTGAATTCAGACCATCAGGCTCAGAAGAAGGGGCTTTTATGCACTGAACCCACACACTATAATAGGGCACTGTACAGGCCAGGTGCAGTAATTTTAAGCCTATATAAAGCAGACATGTGAGAAGCTGAGGTAGAAATGTGAAGACTTCAAGAAGCCTGGGGTTACATAGAAACATGCATTTAAAGGAAGAAAACTATAAATTATTACCAAAAAGGCCAGATACTATGGGAGATGAGAGATGGTTAGAGAAAAATGCTCCCATATGGTAAAAATTAATTATTGAAAAATTTTATGACGCATTAAGGAAAGAATGTTGGGGCTGGAGACATGGCTCAGCAGTTACGAGCAATGAATGCTCTTCCAGAGAACCTTGGCTCAATTCCAATCACCAACAGGGCAGCTCAAAACTGTCTGTAACTCCAGTTCCAGGGGATCTGACACTCTCACAAAGACATATATGTGAGCAAAATCCCAATAAAGTAAATAAATAAAAAACATTAAATAATTTTTAAAAACACCATGGAAAAAAGAAAAGGTGGATTTGGAGAAATGCTCTACACACAAGAGTTTCCAGTATTACTTGGGGGGGGGAGGGGATTAAGACTGGCCAAGAGAAGGAGTAAACAATGGAATAACTGGTGAACTAATTGCTTGCTACACTGGTACTTCCTAAGATACATGTACGTTAATGTATGCCTCGATAAAGCTGCCTTGAGAACAGAGTGCCTATTCCTCTCTGTATCTTCCACACTGTTAATACCATTCATCTCAGATAGCAGCATTTTTTTTTTAATTAGACTAGTGTTTCTTCAGGTCTAATAACAATACAATTACTATAATCAATGAGTAGAGCAATTTAATCCAATGGTTCAATCTTTTTTAAGCATTTTGCTCATTAAAAGTATTAAAGGCCTTTGAGACCCTTTTGGTCTTTTTCTCATCAGATCTCAACCCTGGTCTTGAATGTTATAAAGAAGATAAAGTACACTGAAGCTGGACTCCCAATGATGAAGTCTGGTATAGAGCATAGGTCCAGATTCAAATGGTTCTGGCTATCGTTTGGAACACAGAATAAGTTAAGAATGAAAAGGAAGAAATGTGAAGTTCTGGGCAGCCATGGCAATGGTTGACTACATATTGACGTTTCTTGTACTCATTGAGAGGATTATTTTGTTGTTGTTGATTTCTGGTATGTTTATATTCAGCTGTGTAATCAGTGAAGGGGCCTTGCCTGTGATCATAGGTGTAGAGTTAGAAACAGGAGGAAAAATCAGGCAGGTGGAAATGAAGCTCCACAAGCAGAAGCTTTTGCCTTATGTTGCATCATTTATTAAAGTGTAACAGGATCAATAAAGCCTGTTTTGAAAAGAAAATATAGATGAGGAGAAATAAAAAAAAAAAAAATGATGCCTGTGGTTCCATTCTGAGTTAACCAGCACAGACACTTGAATATGTCCATCCATTCTCTTCTGATATAAACATATGAATTTATTTCATTAACAAAGTGAGATGTGATATATCTTTTACAGCACAAACACAACTGGAAAAAACTATTTTTCAATGTGAACAAAATCAGCAAACTTTTTTAATGCTTTCCCTAAAAAATATATATTTTATAGGTCTAAAGCCACTCCTGTGTATGCTAATAAATTATATGAATTTATTAAAGTAGTAGACATTACAAGAGCAAGTCCTGAAGATCACTTTCTCAATTTTAAAAAATGTAAGGAAAAATTTAAATTTAAAACTTTTTAACATCTAAAAATATATCCAACATTGTACTCCTTGTGGTGGCTTGAGTGAAAAATGTCACCCTAGGCTCAGAGGATGTGACACTATTAGGAAGTATTGCTTTGTTGGAGGAAGTTGTCACTGAGGGTGAGCTTTGAGGTTTCAGAAGCTCAAGACTGACCCAGTGGCACTCCTCCTTCCTGCTGCCTGCAGATCTAGATATAGAACTCCTGGCTCTTTCCCCAGCACCATGTCTGCCTGTGTGATCTTCTGCAGTGCAATTACTATGGAATACTACTTTATGGAATACTTATCATTTGCAGGCCCTAGAACTCTGAACTGTAAGCCAGATCCAATGAATGTCTTTCCTTATAAGAGTTGCCAGGGTCAAAGTGTCTCTACATAGCAATAGAAACCCTAACAAAGATGCACCATACTCCACATTCTTACATGCTTTTAATAATTTGCATAAATATAAGAGAAAATGGAGTAAGTTTACCACTGACAGTAAAACTCAGAAGTAATTCATTCTATTTAAGGAGACATGCTCGTCAAGAACCCTTACCTGTAAGATCATCATTTGTTGCATCTATTTCAGATAACTGAGTATAAATTTGGTTTCTGTCTCCTTCTAGGGATTTTAACGAAGCACTTAACTTTAAAGAAGGAAAAGAAAAAGAAAAGCAATTATCAATTACACACACACACACACACACACAAAAAAAAAAAAAAACACATCTCCAATATACCCCATACTACTGTTCTGCAGTTATTTTCCCTGTGATGATGTTATCATGGACAACATAAAGACATCAGTGCAGCTGCTAAAGCAGCCTTCACCCTATACAATCAGGACTTTTTACACAGATTAACTAAGAACAGACAGAGGGAATAAACCAGAAGAAAACACAGCTATTATTTATTTCTCAAAAGAGTATGTGGAACCATTGGAACCAGAAGAAAAGAATGAACAAGGTGAATGATGAAACAAAATAATAATATTTCTGAAGATATCTTTAATGGAAGGAATGAGTGTACAATTTGAACATTTCTAAATACTCTAATTATAAGAATTTCTAAAGTTGATATAAAAAAAGAAATTGATAAGGAAATCCTAGGGGCTGGAGAGATAGTGCAGTGGCTGCTCTTCCAGTGGACCCGGATTTAAGTCTCTACACCCACATGGCAGCTCACGACTGTCTGTAGCTCCAGTTCCAGGGAATCTCAAACCCTCATAAAGACAAGCATGCTGGCAAACCACCAATACACAGAAAATTAATACAGCAAAAGAAAAAGAAAATTCTAATCATTTATCACATAACCTTATACAAAAAAATAAAAGCAATCTTTAAATTAGTTACATAAGGACACACAGATTTCATCTCTGCTGTAGGTCCAGCTCCTTCTCATCTAGATTTTTACTTACTAATACAAACCTCAGTAGCATATATTAGCTTCCTCAAAGCTCCCTTAGGCTGATTACCTACAGTGAAAAATAAAACCATACTTAGTGAACACATCCAAATTAATGCATTAGTTCTTCATCTAGTCTTGCAACCCCTCTTCCGGCCAAAATTAAACAATTTGAGGCTGAGCTTACTTGCTCTTGACTCCAATTCCAACATTTCACAGCTAAGACAAGGGGATTCCCATGAGTATAAGGCCAGCCTGGACTCCAAGGTGAATTCCAGGCCAGCTTGAGCTACAGCAAGATGCTGTCTCAGTAAAAAGAGTAATTAAAATAAAAACAATAATTTACATGAGGTAGAGTGACCTACACTCAGGAAAATAGACAGTGCACTACAGAGACCCAACAAGAACTGAATATTTACATAAACAGTGTCCATGGACTTAACTATGCTTAGATTCTTATGGCAATACAGCATCCAGGTTAATTAGTCAATCGTGGCTTCAACACTAAAATTATTAATGAACCATGGCTCCAAGTTAAGTACTATTAAACATAAATAGAATTTATGTTTCTTCTATTATAAAATAAAAATGAAAAATACAAATATACCTTACTATACCTTACTATAGTTCCCCTTTTGTTATGGAACTTAAGAGCTGTGTTGTTATAATGAAGAAATATGGGCTATAGAGAAGAACAAAAGAGAAGAAGTCTATAACTCTGAAGAAGAAAAGAAAGATTTACACAAAAGACTAGCTAAATAAGGTGGAAAGAGTGCGTGGTACTTCATGAAGATAGACAAAATGTGCCAAGTCTAAGTATATGAGGAGCTCGATACACATGTGGAATGAAGAGGAAACAAGGAGCCGGTCGCCACAAGTCAGTGCACGTTATTCTCTAAGTCATTGTTCACTTCTACATCCAGATTACCATCATCAGTTACATCTTCCCCAAGCACAGAATTCCAGTCTTTCATCCTTAGCAGGCTCTCCATCAGAGACTGGATATTGAGTAAAAAGAGAAAACAAAATAGAAGGTAATGACTCATGATAATAGCTTTACAATTTAGAACTTAACTCATCTGAAATTCAATCCTGAGCCAATGAGATGGCTCGGCAGGTAAAAGCATCTGCCACTTAGACTGATAATCTGAGTTTAATCCCCAGAACCCACATGGTAGGAAAATTGCCTCCCAAAATTTGTCTTCTGAACTCCATACCCACATCATGGAATGCACACACCCGACACATACATACACAAGTAAGTGTTTAATTATTATAATTTTTTAAATCAATCCCCATAAATAAATCCTTTTGTGCCCTAAGTATCTGTCTGCAATTGAGATATGTAGATAGTTGGTTTTATTTTCTAACTCCACATTTAGGGACTATTAATCCTGAAAAACTAACTTGCTGAACATGGTACATCTTTTACCCCACCACTCAGAAGGAATAGGCAGGCAGATCTATGTGAGATGGGAGCCAGACTGATGTAATAAAGTGAGTTCTGGTAATATAAAAATACCTCTTGAAACTCTGTATGCAAAAAAAGTTATTATGAATATTATGGAAGGGAGGGATGGAGGAAGGGGAGGTAGTGAGGGAAGGAAGGATGAAGAGAAAAAGGAAAAGAAAGAAGAGAAAACAAAATCAAATGCAGTGTTTTATAACGGTTCATTCTTGTTAACTACAAAGCTACAAAATATTTTCTTTTGTGTGTATCATACACACATGAGTATGCAGGTGCACATACAGCTGCAAGAGCATGAGGTAAGAAGATGCAAGTGTCTTCTTCCATCATACTCTAGCTTACTGCCTCGAGACAAGACCTCTCATGGAATCAGAACTCTACTATCTCAAAACCATGGCAGCTCAACAGGCTCTAATCTCCACTGTCTCTGTCCCCTGTGCGGGGCTCTCAGGCATGCGCAGCCATGCTCTTTTATGTGGGTGCTTAGAATTCAAACTCAAGTCCTTATGCTTGCAGACCAAGTGCACAAACCCACTAAACCATCTCCCCACTTCCTAAAATACTTTCTTTTGACATTTTTTATATTTTTTTTACTAATTTACAGTTGGACTGGAGAGATAGCTGAGCAGTTCAGGACTCATTACTCTGCTAAAGCATCTAAGCTCTTTTCCCAGCACCCACATCAGATGGTTCACAACCACTTGTAACTCTAGCTCCAGGACATCCAGTGGTCTCTTCTGGCCTCTGTGGGAAGCATGCAGGCAAGTGGATGGCACTTGAAGAAACCATCCTGAATGAGGTAACCCAGTCATCAAAAAGAGGAACACAGTATGTACTCACTCATATATGGATTTTAGACCTAGATCAAATGATCACCAGCCTATAATTCACATCACCAGACGAACTAGGATACAAGGTGTATTCTAAGAGATTCATATAAAGTCTCTCACAGAAATGGGAAGGGGCAGTTCACCCAGTGCTCAGGGGAAGTGGGGGGGGGCAGCGAATGGAGAGAAAAGGAGGGGGAGGAAAGGAAAATATGTGGGACCAGGAAGATTGAGCCCGGTTAGGAATAGAAGATGGGGGAGAGAGAGAGAGAGAGAGAGAGAGAGAGAGAGAGAGAACATAAAAGATGGAGCCAGTAATGGTTTGAAGATAAAATTGAATGCAAAGAAAGGTCTAGAGACCTACAAGACTGCTGCCAACTAACAATCTGAGATTCCATGGAAAGGCTACCATAAATGCCCTTCCCGGAGAGTGAGATCAACAACTAACTTATCCATGGAGTTCTAAACTTGTGCCTGATGGAAACAGGAGCAAACATCCATACATAAACACTGAGTCAAAGTAGAACCTGGATGAAGATGGAGAGGACAAGACCAGAAACACGTAGAGACAACTTACCTGAACAAGAAGGAGCTAATGGGCCACCAGACTGATAGCTGGGAAGCCAGCATGGGACTGACTCAGGCCTCACTGATTATGCATCTCAGCCAGAAGGACTGAGCAGTCTAAGAGACCTCAGACAGTGGAGCCAGGATGTATCCCTAGTGCACAAAAGGACCTTGCTGACACATCCCCCATGGAGGTATAACTGCCTTAACCTAGAGACAGGAGAGAAGCCCTAGTCCCTACTTCACATGACCTGTCAGATCTACATGACCCCAACTGGATGGCATTCCCCTACATATGGAAATTGCATGGGGGGATGGGAGGGGAGGGTGGCTAGAGTGCATGTGAGAGGGCATAGAGTGTAAAAGGGAGGGAAGGAGGGAAGGAGGGAGGAAGGAATGGAAAGGGAGGGAGGGAGAGAGGGAGAGGGAACTGGGATGGACATGTAAAATAATAAATTAAATGAAAAAAATGCTTTGACTCCAAAATTTAAGTTCAAGGACAAGTTACTGGGGGAAAAGGATTTCTATTTTTGTCTCCACAGAAAATGAAAAGATGTGGATTCCTTCCAGACTAATGTGGTTTGATCAAGCCAGCCTTCCTGAAACCGAGTACCAGGTGATCCTACATTCAAAACAGCTTGACAAATAGCCTTAAAGACTACAGCCAGGATTTCTGCATCTTCTTGGAATTACCTTGACAGAGCCCCTTACCAGCAGGAAGTAGTTTGGAAAAATGATGCCCAAATTCCCAAATATTGTCTAATGTTTGTTTTCATTTAAATGGTCTTGGTCATATAAAACAACAAAAAGGTAAAAATCATTATTTTATTTCTTTATTCATGAACTCCAGGCTAAAATACTGGAGAACAAAGACATGGAGTGTTAACATATATATTACAAATCTATGTATGTTCTAGAAGCATTTGAAATGTAACAAAAAGACACAATAGCAAATAAAAGCTGTTAAAATTATTTGAATTTACAATTAAGTATAAAATTGTGACCAACTAATGACTAAACCAAACAAGCCATTACCTTGATCTGATTTTCCTTAACTTTTAGGAGTTGCTCTGCCTGTACGTTGGATACTTCGATTGCTATTTTCTGTTTATTGAGTTGATTCATTTGTTCTTTCATGATTTTAGCTTCTTCTAAATACTGATAGGAAAACAATAACAAGGATATTAAAGACACAATTTTTACATGAATGTTTTCAATATCATTAAAAGATACTAAATGTGTCATTAAATGATATTTAAAAAGATAGGGCTGCTACTTAAATAGGGACTCAGATGTGGTTCCTTTTTATAATGAACTTTCAAAGCAGAAGACTATAAAATAAGAAATACTCTTCAACTGATTTCCAAGGAAAATTTTCATCAAGTACATGATTTTGACACATACTTGTATGAAAAATCTAGTCAATTATTTCTATCTTTGTACCCTATATACTCTGCTACATCTCATTACTTTTGTTTGTTTGTTTGTTTTGTTTTCCCAATAGAGTTTCTCTGTATTGCTTTGGAGCTTGTCCTAGAACCAACTCTGTAGACCAGGCTGGCCTGGAACTCACAGCAGAGATACAACTGCCTCTGCCTCCCAGGTGCTGGAATTAAAGGTATGTGCCACCAATGTCCAGATATATATATATATATATATATATATATATATATATATATATATATATATTCTGCAGATAATCTGAGCCTGAACTTCACTGTGAGTTCCAGTTTAGCCTGGTATACATGGTAGGACTTTGAAGTGAGGATGACTCAGCTTTTATTATAGTAAGGACAATCAACACAGGAGTCCTCACCACCATGTTTTCTAAAATCTGAGATGATAGAACAAAGATGTGAAAGGAAAAGACATCAACCCCAAAAGAAAATGGACAAACAGAACGAACACATGTGAGACCAAACAATCCACAGACAATAGAAGAAACATAAGCCAGTTAGAAAAACATAAAATAAGATGACTTGACACAATCCAGAGAGGCTCATGATTGAAAGCAGTAGTAGTAGAGGGAGGAATGGAAACCAAAAGGGAAGAATTAGGGAACTGGAGAGACAGTAGAGTAGTTAAAAGCACATACTGCTCTTGCAGAGGACCCACACTCAATTCCCTGCACCTGCACGGAATAGCTCACAGGTGCCTGTAATTCTAAATGATCTAATGTCCTCCTCTAGTCCCTATGAATGCCTGAACATATACACACATACCAACACACAGAAGCACACACATGCTCCTGATATCTCTCCTATTACCTCCCTGTACCTGTCTTCTCTCAAACATGCATATACACATCACATTTTCTGCCACTCATCACATTTTTTCTTTTATGCATACATACAGCTGAGTGTTTCATCCCTACTGGCAAGCTTCAATAGTGCTGTAAGGTGTTATGCATACAGCAGTACAAAACATATTCATCAATGTCACCTACCTGTGAAGCACACAAGCTGAAATAACAACCCAGCAGCAAGATGTGGCTTATGGTACCACAGTAGCATAAGTGTATTAAAGTAAGCAACCACTTTCTATTTGGATTTAAGGCCAACCAGCTCAATGAGATGAAATGTTGTCCAGCACAGCAATGCACACCTTTCACCTCAGTGCCCAGGAATCAGAGTCAGGTGGAATTCTGTGAGATCAAAGTCATCCTGATCTGCATAGGGAGCTCCAGGATAGACAGAATTACTTAAGGGAGATTATTCTTTCTAAAAAAATGAGGTGGACCATTCCTGACACTGTTAAGGCCTCTAGTCACTACACACAGTTACACACATGTATCCATGTGCACAAATGAACACACACTCACACCCACAAACACACTCAACAAATCAGGTAGTCGTCACTATCATTATCATGGAAGGGCTTTAAAGTTAGTCTCTCCAGTATTTCTTGGATTGCTATTTGGTCACGGAAGGCCTCACCTTCCATGGGAAGCAGAAAGGGGATAGGGTGGGTTTTGGTGGGAGTTATAGGCATGAATGGGAACATGAGGGAACTGAGATTGACAAATTTGTTTCAAATTTAAATAAAAAGGGAAAAAAAACAAAATTTAAATTATCACAATAAATAGTTCTAGTAACCCACAGTTTCAAGAGTTTCCAGAATGTAAGAATCCAACATATTAAAGAAACCCTATGTGACACATCATCACACAATCTCAGAGAGCTAAAGACAACAGAAAGATAATGTTTGAGGAGAAAAAAAAGGGCAGAAAGCAAAGAAGGTCCCATAATCAACACATCATTCAAGTTTCAAAACCAAACATGGAAAGGGAAGACAATGCAGCAATATCAAAGTTTTATTTTAAAAAAAATGCAGCACAGCAGATAGATCTCCTGGTTTGAGGCCTGCATGAGATTATAGTGAGTTCCAGAACAGCCAAGACTATTACACAGAGAAACCCTGTCACACTAACAACAACAAAAGCAGAATCAAAACACCAAGAAGTGCAAATAAGTATCTAAATATCTGAAACATGAAAGAGAACAACGAGTTAGAGCAATTTCTCAGTGGTTAATACCATGTACTGTTCTCCAAGGGGTCCTGAGTTCAGTTCCCAGAACCTATATCGGGCTCATCACAGCCACTTATAACTCGAAGTACAGGAGATTCAACATCTTTCCCTGGCCTTTGAGAGCACCTTAATCATGAACACAAATGCACACAAATAACACATGCACAAAATTAAAAAATAATAATTAATTTCAAAATAAAATCTTTTTTAAAAATGGAAAATAAGACCTTTACAGCTATGCAATCTCCTTTTAAAATTACCTACTGTACCTTATTATCTGAAAGATAAACAAGTTAATGAATCACAAATGTTCTCTTTTGAAACAGGAAACAGAACATTTAAGATAAGGAAACAAAAATCCTTGGCTGCTGAGTGAACTGTAGTATCAGGACAAAAATGCCCAGTAGATCTATAGAACACATTTTTCTTTTTCTTTCTTTGCTCTCTCTTTCCTTCCTTCCTTCCTTTCTTCCTTCCTCCCTTCTTTCCTTCTTGGAGACATGATTTCTCTGGCTATCCAGGATCTCATTCTGTAGACTTGGCTGGGCTCAAAGTCACAGAAATCTACCTGCTTCTGTTCACAGTGCTGGGATAAATAGGTATGTGCCACCAATGCCACTCATTACACATTCTTATTGGACTAGGAGAATGTAAGATTCCAAGAAAAATGGCCCCCAGAAGAAAATGAAGGAGGAGTCCAAGAATATCTATGGTTATTTCAGGAGACCTGAATTTGGTTCCCCTTACAGACTATGTTAGGGATCTGATGCTTGTGGCCTCCAAAGGTACCTGCACTTGTGTGCACATATCTACAATCAAGTTACACACATGCACATAATTAAAATAAAAAAATAGAAGAGGAAAAATCTGGCAGTAGGCACACACATACCTATGAACCTAGCAATTAGGAGACTGAGTACCTCAGTAAGTTCCAGGTCACCCTGAATTACAATACAAGACACTCTCAAAAAATAAATAACAATAATAATAATAATAGAATTGTAAATGAACAAATTAGCCAAGGCAGTTGAGTGATTGACATTTCCATTGAGATAGATTACAAATATCCATTACAGGAAGCCAAGTAGTAAAAAAATAAAACGTCGGGCAACTCAGGATATATAGTCAAGACAGACAGAGAGGAGGGTGAGGATAAAAGGTAAGTTGTCCCTTTACATTACCCAAGAACTCCTCCCTCCTCTAGGACCCCAATTGGTAATCTGTTAACTCTTACTGCAGTCTTTATTGTGAGGAATCCTGTTAGCCGATGTCTCCTGTGAGAGTAAAAATTCTGACTGCCTTCTCTCACGGGAGAAGACAGATGGAAGAACACACTTTTAAATCCTTTATGGGAGTCTGCAGGGGAGACTTCCTGCTCTAAGAAGTTTACTCGTTCACTACACAACTCCACACATGGTTCATTCGTGAGGTGCCCAGAACATCAAAGGCTATATTCATATCTAAAAGAATATCTGTAGTCTACAAACCTGATGCACGCTTTCCTGAAGTTGATAATTTTCATTCAAGGTATCTGTTATTACTCCTTTAAGTCGTTCTTTATTTATTTCAAATATTCTTAGTGTGGTTTTGGCCTAAGTAATAGAAATACACCGTTTAAAACAATTTAACAGAAAGCCCCCTGATTATGTCTTTTCTGAAGAACATAAAATGTAAGCAAAGGCCAAAACATTCCACTATTTACAGCAGAGGAAGTATCAACACTACTTTGATACACTCATTTGCCACATGACTTTGAACAAATTATTGAATCTTCCATGTACAATTCAGACAATTTTGTTAACTACTGAAATAGAAAAGAACAATTATTAGTTACAGAATTACTGGTTTATTTAGCGGCTTACTTAAAACACTGCCTTACTGCCTATTTGCTACCAGGAAGGGAATAACCTGGAGAAATAGCTGAAAGAATGGGTTGTCACCCTTAGCAACCTGCTACTGCCATGTACACTTTAGAAAAATTTGCTTGCTTGCCTGCCCACTTTGTGATTTTAAAAAAAAAGAAACTCTAACCAGAATTGAAGGCTTTCTGGAGGTCTCATGAGGACAGTCCACTGGTGACCTCTCTCTTCCATGCTCACTAGTGCAGGAGCAGATATTAGAGAAAGACCCCATACTCCTTACTCTTTGTCTCATGACCTAAACTTTATATGGCAGGAAGCAAATCTATTTATTATCGATACATGTTACACAACTTCAAGAGTGCTCAGATACATTCCTAGGTTAAATATATCCAGAGGAAAATGAATTTCAATCAAGGTAACACATTAAAACAAATGCATATTTAAGCTTGGCTACATTTCAAATACTAACAATATATTATTACCTAATGTGATGGCTATGTTTGGTTATCAACGATAACTGGAATTAACTAAAACCCAAGGAAGCTGTGAGTACTGTTTCTAAATTAAATCATTTCAAGTGGCAAGACCCAAATTTAATCTGGATCTTTTGAGGTGGGAAGATCCACCTATATTCGGGGCTATACCTTCTGGCAGCAGCCTATCTAAAGGACATGGAAGGAGGAAGCTTGCTGGTCCTCACCCTCACTGGCATTACAGCTTACTTCTTTGGTATTCCAGTGTATACTGAGTATCAGGTGAGACATCCAGCCTCATGGACTGAGAAAGTGTTGGATTCTTGGACTCTCTGTTGGTAGACTGACATTGCTGGACTGAGTGGAACACAGCCTGGAAATCGCTTTAATAAATACCCGATATGTTCTGTTCCTCTAAAAAAAACTCTGACAAATATACCCAATAATAATATGAAACATAAATGGTCTTCAGAAGTGACAGACCAATTTATTTCAACTTAACTTACTTCAGCTAGCTGTGATTTGACAGACTGTGATTCATCTGCTAGAGACTGCATCATTTTTGAAAGGTCACTCATCTGAAAAGACAGTATCAGTCAGTAAGTATTTAATAAGTCCATTTTGCTCCAAGACAACATGCATTAGTTAGGTACATTGTTAGTTTACTGTTAATAAAAGGGAGAGGCCAGATGAGGAGGCCTTGTCAGCTTGCATTCCAAGTGCTCACAAGGATTTTACAAATTATGTAATCACATGATGTCCTTACAAATGCAATACATCATGGAACTTTTCAGGTTTAAGGTGAACCCACTAATTTAAATAATCACACACACATCAAGATTTTGCTTAATCCAGAATTTAAAGTAAAATAAAAGATATTCTTTATGGTTACTTGCAACGTAAATATTGAAATTTTCCATTTAAAATAACAAGCGAGCCAAGTGTGGGGGTGCACACTTGTAATCCCAGCTCTTAAGAGGCACAGGCAGGAAGGTAATGAGTTTGAGGCCAGCCTCACTTATACATACAGGGCTATATTCTAAGACTATGTCAATAAATATAAACAAGAACACAGGAATATGCACAAGCCACTCATCATAACATCTAAAAAGTAAAAGTTTGATGGGAGGTGTTGGCACATGCCTTTAATCCCAGAAAACAGGAGGTAGAGGGAGGTGGATCTTTGTGAGTTCCAGGCCAGCCTGGTCTGCATAGTGAGTTTCACAACAGCCAGAGCTATTGTACAGAGAAATCCTGTCTTGAAAAAACAAAACATAACAACAAATAAACAAAAGAGGTGAAAAGATCAGATCAGATGTGAAAAATTTTGTTCTCATATTATTCTACATCATTTTTTTTCTTTTGATTTTTCAAGACAGGGTTTTTCTGTGTCACTTTGGAACCTTCCTGGAACTCGTTCAGTAGAGCAAGCTGGCCTCAAACTCCCAGAGATCTGCCTGCCTCTGCCTCCAGAGTGCTAAGATTAAAGGCATTTGTCAAGAATGCCCAGCCTGCATTCCATTTTTTACATACATGAGTTTCTTTACATTTTTGAAGATAGTATATCCTCTCTCTGTTCAGGGCAGGACAGCTTGGAACTGTTGTTTTTTCCTACCAAGTGCTGGTATTATAAGTTTGTGCCACTTTGGTTGGCTCACATATAATATTTTAGTCAATATTTAATTTATATGTAAGATTCATAATTCTCTTGGAATATATAAGACTCACCAATTCCTCTTCTTCATAATGTTTAGCTCTCTCTTCTTCTAGTTTCTTCTCTATAAGTAATATTTCTTCTTCAAGTTTAGATTTATCTCTTTCTAGATTTTTATAAGTTGCCTAAAATAGAAAGCTAACTTTAAACAAGCCAAACATAAGAATTTTTCGTTAGGGTAAAAATCAGATGAGTATAGGGTAAAAATCAGATGAGTATACTCAAATTAATAAACACTTTACACATTCTTTCATTTCTCAAATATTAAAATAACAGCAGATTTATCAGTTGCCAGCAACTTCTATAAAAAAAAAAGTGTAAGTATTTTAGGTGCCCACCAGTTAACCATGGCAAACAATGAATACCCCCTGAAGGAATTAAAACAGTTGTATTCCAAAAACACTTTTATGTAAAAATAAAGAAAAATTAATGAGTTTATTTGGAGTCTAAACTCCCTGTGGATTCTACAAAGGCATTCTACATCATAAGACACAGACTTGCTACTCAGGACAGAGGATGACAGAACTGCCATTCTGGACTGAACACATAATCAAAGGGACAAAGTTTTTTTCTGTTTTATCATTGGGAGGAGCAGGCTATTTCTATTTACTATACAGGCTCACAACTCAGTTTTAATAACCGTTCCACTTGCAAAGAGTATTGAGGCACTTCATCACATCATACTCTGTCTGTTAGGACGAGTCATTGTGTCCTCTGAATCAGGAGAGTTAACTGTCCATCTCTCCTAAACTCTCCATTCTGTGAAATCATGGTTATGGACTGAAAACTGGCTGTGATGGAGTGTGTAGACAAGGGTTGATGCACAGAAAGGGATTAAATATTTATCACCATGCTCTTTACAATGTAAACCTCTGGTCTAATTTTAGTAAATGTCTACTACCATGGTAAGAAAAAATAATATGGTTACAACTTACTTGTCTGCTACTATGCTTAAATTTGTGAGAGTTCTATGTCTCTTTCCTGGAGCAAACTATGTCAAAAGTAGGAATTGTCTTTCCAATCCTTTCACCGGAGTACAGAATGCAGAATTTTTTTCTTTCTATAAATCTATAGCTTCTGATAAACTGATTTTATATCACTCAAAACAAGTTAATGACAAGAGTTGAAACTGTTATATTTTAAAATATTTTATGCTACCTACAAATATTCTGTTTCCACTAACTTTTTCTGTACATTGTAAGATCCAGATACACAATTTCATATTTCTCTGACATAATTATTTTTGAGGAGACAAGATATTTCTAATAAGAATCTTTTCCCTAGCTTTTATATCATATTTTTTTTTTACCTTCAAACTCTGTACTTCTGTTGATGCCTTGTCAAAGTTGTCCTCCTTTAAGGATGACTCTAAGCCTTCATACTGAATGAAACAAGGGAACACGTGAGGAAAAAAATATAAATTTTATCTCAACTTGTATCTAAATAGACACCAAAGAAGGAAACAGAATTTATATCCACCATGTAAAGTACCCTTGGATTTTCTGAGCTTAGTTTTGCAATCTAAACACTGTGCTGAGGAAAGCCAGGTCTACAAACAAGCCACAACCATCAGCCTAGGCAACATATGGCAGAACGTTTCCATTGTGACTAGCAAAGTTGCCCCACATCTGCTGGGGCTGAAAACCCTAACAGCAAGTGTGACTAAAGTGTATCTAAAGAAGTGAGTCATCTACTATCCCCTGAACGGATTAATGGCTTCTCCAGTCTGTCAGTAGAACAATATGTGGTAACTGGCTATCAGACATTTATATCATGTGATAAATAAGGCAAGTAAGGAAGATAAAATCTGTGAGTTGCAGACCACCCTGGTCTACAGAGTGAGTTTCAGGACAGCCAGTGATGCACAGAGAAACCCTGTCTCCTATATCTCAGCACCTCAGAATTTGTGTTATTTAGAGACAAAGCCTTTGAATACAGGTAGGTTAAAAGGAGGGATTTAAGATGACCGCAACGTAATATGACTGATATCCTATGAGGAGAGCACTAGGACAGAGAAAGACACAACAAGCAGACAGTACTATCTAAAGTCAAGGGACAGGTCAGAGAGGAAGCAAAGCCTGGCTATATCTCCATGGACTCGTTTCAAGAACTGTAAGAAAATTCACTTCTGCTGCTAAAGGTATTTTGTCACAGTAGTCCTAGCATGTCCAAATGAAAACAGTAAAAAAAGTCTCTACATGATAACAAGTAAAAGTACCTTTACATCCTTGATAAGCAAAAAAATCTCATGAAACATTACACTACATTAAATTGTAATTCAAATCCTCTACCTTCTAAGACACCAAACAAAACAGAAATGTAAGCCACAGAGTAGAAGAGATTTACAATCCATATATCTGAAAAAAAAAACTCTTATATATGACATAAAATAGTAAAAGCAAAGGCCCTAATCTATATGGCATAAACTGAGAAAGATTACGAGTGCATTTAAAAGGATGGAAATGCGCAAGTGAGATGGCTCAGTAAGTAGTTAAGGAGCTTGCTGCCAAGACTGATAACCTGAGTTCAATCCCAGGGACCCAAGTAGTAAAAAGAGGAAAGTGACTCCTCCATGTCCTATGATCCTATGATCACCACACAAATGCCTTCTTGGTACACACCTACACACATAGACACAAATAGACACACAATAAAAACAAAGTCATCTTTTAAGGTGGATAAGACATAAAAGGCAATTTTACAATATCTAAATGAGCAATAAGCAAATCAAGGTGCTCTGACTAATTAGTCAGGGAAGGTAAACACTACACATCACCAGGGTGGCTGCAAAGAGAATGGCTAAGTGATGAAGTTGAGCAGCAACAGAGCTCTGGTCTGAAACAAAGCTCTGATGGCAGACAATAACCCATGGAGAACAATTAAGCTCCACACTGTGATGGGTGGTATTTTCAAACACATCTTACCTCCTCTTGAGCAAGGCACACTTTGTCAATTAGATCACATTTCTTTTTGATTTCCATTGCAAGTTCCACAGCCAGTCTATTCTCTCTTACTGAGCAAGCAAAGGAAAGATTATTATGACTAAAGTGTGAAAACGCTTTAAATTAGATACAATCACAAGATCTAAAATCAAAAAAGACTACTTACTCAAATAAAGTCGGCTTTGAATCTGAAATATAAATTTAACAAAATTACATTAAAACAAATATATCTTCAAGCAAATCTATCTGACTTCTACTTCCAGCTTTAAGACGCCAACTTTCTTATGGCCTTATGGTAAATAAATTACCCAAAAGCCTTCTATTTCAAATGAAAACAATGCTATATAGTAAGGTCTCCCATTGTGTGGTATCATGTGTGTTATTATATTAAAGGCTCTGAAACAGTCTCATTCTAAAGAAAACTGTATAATTACACTTAACCCCATGTTTCCCATGCATATATTGGCTCTAACACAAAGTATTTTAAGGAGCCACCATTATTAAATCTCCTACGGTTAATAATCAAAATAAAAATATATGAAATATCATTGGATTCTAGACCTTGACTGACTAAAAAACTCATTAGTCTTTTTCTTCTTCATACTTCAGCTTTTGATGAGGAAGGGATAAATCCACCCTTGAGAACAGTGGGGATAGGGTAAAGTGGTCAAGGGACGCAAACAAGAACACTCATGCCACCTAGAAAACAGAGACAGAAAACTGGAAGAAAAAAATTGACAAAAAAACAGTGGGATATATGTAAGCAGAAGGTAAGGAAGAAAAAACCATGAAGACATTAGAAATGAAGTCAGTCAGAAGCACAAAGGCCAACATCTAAAAAGAAGTCTCAGAAAGAAAAGGCTATGTTATGACTCCCTCCTTAAAAACAGTTAGCATAGGAAAAAGCAATATAGGATCCAGGAGAGCCATGAAAGTAGCGATTTTTACTCTTAGTTGGGAAGTAGATACAGCTGCAAACTTTTTAATATTGTTAAAAACAAACACAGACACCCCAAATTTAAAGAAGAAAAGGGAAAGAAAGAAAGTTGAGGCTTTAGTACTAGTGTGTAGTATCCCTACAATAAAATCCTTTAAAATATACTTACATAAAAATATTTCTGTTAATCCCTGTTCAGTTTTTAAAAACCACCTGTTAGCATAACGCAGAACACTAAGACCTAACTCATTTCCCTGAAATAACAAGTTTCTCCAATTAGTTGTTCAGTCTAAACACAAAATGAAGGTTAGAGAGAAATGGCTCAGAGCATTTGTTAGTCTTGCAGAGGACCAAGATTCAATGCCATCATCGACATTATAGCTCACAGTCATCAGTAATTCCAGCTCCAGGGCATCCAACAATGGCCCACTAATCACTTCTGTAGACCAGGAACACATAACACACACACATACATACAAGCAAAACAGTCATACACATAAAAGGAAATAAACTAAAAAACAAAAACAAAAAACCTAGAATGACCATTCACTTATTATAAGTGGCTACTTACTGATCGGTATCCTCTCCAAAGAAATAAGAAAATGGTAAGCAGTACAATGGCAACCACACATATCAGCGATTCTAATGATGGCTCACTAGGATCAAAGCTTGTTGTCATATCTTCAGGCACTGCTGCCACAACCTTCGAGACAAAGAAAATAAACCTATAAGCATGCTTCTTCAACAGTACTGGTACAAAGACAGGCGCAGTTGGCTGTGGCCAACTCTATTCATATTGAATGGGCTACCATAAAATACAAAGCAGAATGCCTCCAAACATGTTTTCTAGTAAATTACAATTGTTCTTATTGAGGGGCTAAGTGTGGTGAAACAGTAGTTTTCAAACAGAAGTTATGGGGAGATTCCACAGAGCATAACTCCAGGAGAGTTAAAGGATAAGGATATAGTATCAAGAAAAGACTGTGTTTCATTCTTTTATGTTGCATTTGTTTAACTCTGTAAAGCTACATTACTTTGCCTGTCTAAAACACCTGATTGGCCTAATGAAGAGCTGGACAGACCAATAGCTAGGCAGGAAAAAATAGGCAGGGCTGGCTGGCATGCAGAGAGAATAAATAGGAGGAGAGACCTAGAGAAGATCCAGGGACAAGAGGAGGAGGACACCAAGGGCACCAGTCACAGAGTAAGAAGGAAAGCAAGGCATATAGAAAGCAAGGGAAAAGAGCTCAGAGGCAACACATAAAGAGAAATGGGATAATTTAATTTAGAAAAGCTGGCTAGAAAAAAGCTGAGCTAAGACCAGCCATTCGTAAGTAAGAATAAATCTCCATGTATTTATTTAGGAAATGGGTGAGGGACACCATCCCTACCAAAGATTTTTAACATCCAGTAAAAAAAAAAAAAAAGTATCAATGATCTGGATTGGGTTCTTTTCCCTGAGTTTAAGTTCATGATTTATCCATATGCACTGGGTTTGAAATAACATTTCCTGCAGAGGAAAAACACTGATCTGCAGCTTGTCCTCTGAGGAAGGGAGAGTGACAAGAAACAACTGACAGAGCTTCAGAGTTGGGATTTAAACCCTTCCTTCCTGTCTCTTGAGTTAAATTAATGCAGTTGGAGCCCAAAAAGAAAATGGCTCTTTCAAAAACAACCCTAGAAATGATGGGCTTGACTCTTTCCAGGCATCAACATACACCATCTAGAAACTCCACAGCTGTCTTCTCCTTGGGGTCTGACAAAATGAACAACAAATCCTTAGATAATTACTATCTATAAAACCTGTTTTATGCTAGTACATGACAAGGACCTTTTACAAGCTGCTATCTACAGCTTCTACCAAAAAAAAATATATAATGCAATAGTATCCTCTTTTTTTATTCCCTGTATCTTTATTTTCCTTTTTACATCTGTGACTCCAGAAAGGATCCAAAGTGTAGGTGCACAGCCTCTGCTCTGGGTTTCATGGAGAGTTCCTTTAATCTTGTGTTTTAGATCCTTCAGGTACAGGACTGACCTTGCAAGGGCTCAGAAAAGGGTTAAAAATATTTTATCCTGGTCCTGTCTCTTTCTCACCTGAGCCACATACACAAAAGTGTGATATCATGTTGCAAGGCAATGATAACAATGATTTGCCTCTAGGATCACAAGAACAGATATTCAGGCATGGCAAATATTTCGATTATCTCTCTCCAAAGACTATGAATGTATAACCAAGCCCTCCACATACCCTCTAAAATATTCTTCCACATCTCACAGAGTAATTAATTGCATATATTACCTCTTCCTGAATCCATCTTCCCTCAGTGGGTTATTCTAGTCTTTATCACCAGGCCCCAATACTAACTGATCATAAACAAGTAGATTGACTCCTCTGATAGCAGGTAAAAAAGACTAAGACTAAAACTGTTACTAGACACAAAGATGTGATTGAAAAGGCTAGCTCAGTCTTTAAGTTGTAGGATTTTATGCAAGAGAACCACAAAATGAAGTAAAATCTGTTGAAGTAAGGATAAAACAAACCGTTCATCAACAGTAATTATTTTTAGATCTCACTTTCAGTGAGTCAGCATGAAAAGAGAACAAGGTAAAAACACTACAAATAAGTTAGACTATCATATTAGCAAAATACTATGCAATAATAGCAGAAAATACATTCACTCTCAAATGTACATGGAAGATTCTTCAGAAAAAATCCAGGCACTAAGCTAAAACACACCTCAATGGTTTCTTTGTTTGTTTTTTTTGTTTTGTTTCTTTAAATAATCAAATCACAGGGCCAAGCCCAAAGAAATGGCTCAGCAGCTGAAAACATTTGCTGCTCTTGCAGAGGAGCAGACTTCAGTTCCCAGAATCCATGTCAAGAAGTCCCTAAGTGCCTGCCCATGACTCCAGCTCTGTGAGATCTGATGCCCTCTTGCTGCTTCCTTGGGCAGCTGAAGCTTACAAGCACATACACACACATACAAATAGTTTAAAATAGTAAAAATTCAATTAAAAAATTCCCATGTCAAGAAGCATCTTCTCTGATTACAACGGGTTAAAATTAGTTATCAAAAAAAACAGGAAGGGCTGGAGAGAGAGCTCAGCAGTTAAGAGCATTTGTCATTCTTGTAGATAAATGACCCATGTTTGGTTCCCAGGATCCACTTGATGGCTCACCACTATCTATGACCCCATTTCCAGGTTTCTTTAAGCACAGCAAACATGTGACACATGGACATACATGCAAGAGCAAAACATCCATGAACATAAAGGATTTTTTTTTCAAATAATAAAATGCAACACAAAACAACTAATTCAGTGTGTAATAGGATAATTTATAGTCATAAAAGATTTTGTAAAAAAAATATGTGGGGACAAGGGCTGGAGAGATCTCACAATGGTTAAAAACATTAGCTAGTTGTCAAGAGGTTCTGAGTTCAGTTCCTAGCATCCACACGGTAGCTCACAACCATCTGCAATGAGGTGCCCTCTTCTGGCTTGCAGGGATATAAGGAGAAAGAACACACTATATATAATAAATAAATCTAAATAAAAATTTTAAATATTATTGGTCCAGGAAGATAGCTCAGCAGGTAAAAACTTTGCCACCAATCCTCAGGACCTGTGTTTGACCCCCATCACCAATGTGGTAGAAGGATAAAACCGACTCTTGGGGCTTTGCATTTACACACACACACACACACACACACACACACACACACACACACACCATATATACACAGAAAGGTATGTAATGTTCAGTTAAAAAACCCAATGTCAAAATCCACAGTAAAAGAAATGAAGAAAAAGAAGATCTCAACAGATAGTAATAAAATATGTAAGAAAATCAACCTTCTAATCATCAGGAGACTGCAAACTAGGACTACTTTTCTCAATCTGACAAACAGCACCAATAGAAAACTCACAGCTAACACCATCCTGAAGGGGAGAGGACTGTTCCCTTACAAAATGCAACACACATCCACACAGCCCACTGAACCACAGAAAATCCAGACAAGTCTGCAAAATCCCTCCATGTTCCTCACCCACAACCTTATCAAAAATAAGTGTTGGTAACTGCTAGGTGCCTGTGTATTTTATATGAAAAGCCAGAGGCTGCTGTGGTAATGTCTTCCTTTTCTACCTCAATTTTTCTAAGGCAGAGTCTCTCACTCAATCTAGAGCTCACACATTCTCTGATAGACTGATTACCAGTGAACCTGGGATTCCTCTATTCACACCTCCACCCAGCATTTACATAAGGAACTCCCAGAGCACTTTCCTTTCTGAACTGAGCCATCTCCCTAGGCCCTAATTGTGGATTCTGAGGGAGATGTGTGTGACCTGAAATCATCTCTCATCTACAATATGCTTCTCTTCCCATAAGCCCCATCTCAGTAACTTAACTGACACAGCCAGGAACTTGGGATTATTCTAGATTCTCCACACATCCCACCCCTCTCTACAGCTAATCAAGAAAGTCACACTCATTTTAGCTCTTATTTCTTCTTGCCCCATTTAGGACCAACTTCTCTAGATCCTTACCCCTATCAATTCTCCTTCCTGTGTTTTTTCCCTGACATTTGATTCTCATACTATCAGGAATATCTATACATTTTTTCTATGGGTCTCACCACTGATGAGCCTGTGCTGGATCTCACACCCCACACCAATCCTTGAGACCCACTGGTCTACAGTAAGCATCATTTCACATCAGGCCCTTGGCTCACTTATGCTGTGAGCTCCTGTCAATGCTGTTTTCACACCTCATCTACTGAAACTTATTTGCTCAGTCTAAAGACTTTCCCAGCAACCCAAGGAAAAATAATCACTCCCTTCCCTTGTTTTGCATGTGTACTTCTATAGGCAATAGACTTCAACTGTGGATTAATTTTGTGTATTTTCTCCCCAAACAGCCAACATGATGAAAATGACCAAAATCCTAATTTCATTTAGAACCTCCATAGAGCATTTTTATTCATGAGCATGGCACTACTTACTTTAAATTCACAGAACATGAAGATAATTAGAACTGGCAGCAGCTCAAAAATCCTCCATGGGCACACCACGGTGGCAGTACGAGGCACCGCCATCCCTTTGCCCACGATGGGGGGCCTTGCAGCTGGACAGATGGACAGCAGCAGAGCAGAGCACAGTCAGGGGGGGCACTGGGAAAGGGAAGGGTTCTGGGGCCGGCTGGCACCACTGCCCTCTCCACCTCCTTATCTCAGTTGACGCGTCAACACTGGCACTCTGACCTCCAGCACCAGAGTCCTGGAGAGCTGGAGCAAGAGAAGCTGAAGCACCCAGTGTGGGGCTGCAGGCCTACACTCTGAGGCCTGGGGCACAGCCCCGGAGTAAAAGCTCAGCCCCCTATCCCCAGCTACTATTGCACTCTGTCCTATCAAGTCAAAAAAACACTCTTCTATGGAACACTAAAAGCTGAAACACCAAGTTTGGGGCTACAGCCCTACACTCCGAGGGCTGGGGCACAGCCCCAGAGTGAAAGCTCAGCCCCCAAGTTACAGCTACTATCACACTCTGTCCTATCCTCTACAGTCCAAAAGCCACACTGTAGTAGCTAGGCGGAAACTCTCCTACGCAGAGACGTCATCCTCTGTCATAATCAGTGTCAGAAAACGGCCTCTGATGTAAGAGACGATGACGCATTCACACTTAGAACTCACTGTGATCAGCCCAGTTATACTACTTGACTCCTAAGAAATATCCCTTCTTGACTCGGAATTAATAGCAGTGGTGTGGTGTGTGTGTGTGTGTGTGTGTGTGTGTGTGTGTGTGTGTGTGTGCTAATTCCTGAGTGTGTGTGTGTGTGTGTGTGTGTGTGTGTGTGTGTGTGTACTAATTCCTGAAGACATTCTGCTCAGCACTGCCCTATTTAGCATCCTATTTGTAGGCCTCATGAAATAAGCTGATGCTCTTGTGTATCTCAAATGTAGGACCTGAGAGTCACTGCTCTGAAATGTCTTTTTATTTTTCAGGGTCAGGTCTCATTTCATTGCTCCATGAGCTTCCATATAATGACTGCTTTGAATTTACTCCAAGAAAACTATGTAGGAACTTGGCAAAGTATGTTGGAAAAGAAAAACAAAAACAAACAAACAAACAAAACAGACCATCTAAAGTTTTTAAGCAATAGAAATTTGGTTTGTTTTTCCCTAAGTTACCTTCAGGGTGATTGAACAGAAGAATCAACTGATAAGTATTAATTGCCCTCAAGGAAGTTCTGGGAGCTACCTGTGTTTGCTGTACCCAATGAACCACACCAAGTTGCAAAACTAGGTACCACCTGTACTTGCCCAAATTCAGTTTATCACTTTGGACCATGTGGTTTTAGGGCAGAGCTGACTGGTATGGGGTTTTGGCCCCAACTAAGCTTTCATACATGCAGAATAAGCCTGAAACTCCAGTGCATGTGTGCTGTAGGCCAGCAGTGACACTGTTCAAATACACTAAGCAGAAAATGTCAACATGGCATATTGGCAAGGTAGTGAAGAAGAGACTGAGATCCTTTATAATTTGGATCTGGTTGCATTCTTGATGACTCCTTTTCATAGTTTTCTTAGTAGAATTTTTTTTTTGTTTCTTGGAACAGGTTTTTCAGAGGCTGCCTGGGAACCTGCTCTTATACACCAGGCAGGTCTTGGACTCATAGAGATCTGCATACCTCAGCCTCAAAGGCTGGGATTAAAAGCCTGCAACACTCCTGACTGGTTCTTAATAGATTTTCAATAGCTGTTATAATCCTTTAGTTTGGAGATGGAGATATGATGATATATACCACAAAAGGTTATTCTTTATTAGTAGTTTTTGGTATTACCCCGAGGGAGTATTCATTTACGTTAAAAATAAAAGCTCTGTTGACCTCCATATTTTCTGCTTTGAATTCCCATCTCCAACCTGTTACTCCATCCCAAGAATTGCACTACTAACTTCTTTATTGTTTTCACTTCTCAGTGTTCACTTGAACATCTTATTTGAATCAGTTTCCACAAACATCAAGAGCTACACATTGAAGCACATATGACTTTTCAAATCCAGCTCCAATAATTCTTCAAAACTCTTCATAATTCTGTTATTTCCTTGGTGTGTGCTTCAGGATTATTGTTTAGAGGGGGCGTGATATTTGCAAATTGCTTCACAATAGTGTCTCTTATATAAAAAACACTTCTCAAATGTGACCTCAATGTTCACATAAACACAAGAATATCCTCTTCTTTTTAGATGGTCTCCTGAGTCCTAGGAACACTCCACCTTTGCAATTCTTTCATTGATATACAAAACTTGTGAGCACAGCAAATGTTTAGACAGATATTGTCTTGAAGAATTAAGTGAACTCTTTCTACACTTTTAATTATTTATTTGTCAGTGTCTGTGTGGGCAGGTGAACCCTTGCCATTGTAAACATAAGGTCAGAGGCCAAATTAGGATTTGAATTGTTCTCTCCTAATTTTGAATTCTGTAAGTCTAGAAGACTTAACTTAGGTCTTTAGCTTTGACAGCAAGCATCTTTACCCACAAGGCTATCTCAAGGCCTAAAGAATCAGATCATAAGAATTTGATTTATTATTTTTATTTGATCAGTCAAATGAACAAATTTAAGTGAAATGAAGAAACAATAGAATTATTTTTCCTATTTTATTTGTCTGTTTGCTGTTGTGTGTGTGTGTGTGTGTGTGTGTGTGTAAGAGCATGCTACAGAAAGGATCAAGAACCATGTGTGTTTTAACATGAACTACACTCACAGCTATGTTTTATTACTGTACTATCTAGGGATGATATTCTTTTCCTTTTTGCACTCTCTGGGATGGTAAATTGCCTACATAGACACTTAGCTATACTCAATATCTGGATTTCTTACCAACCATAATATAAATAGTAAGGGCCTGTAATGGAGGGTGGATGTCAATATAACCATATTCTAACTAGTTTGGAGAAAAGCCTCAATGTCAGGATCAAAATATTTGAAGTTTTTTCATTTATGTTAGTTGCATGTCTTGCATGAGTAGAATGAAGTTATACTCTTTTCGTGAGTGACCATTGAGGAGGGTCATTTTGTCAGTGAGATGAAGAAATTCAGACTGCCACATGAGAGATTTGCTTTCCATGTATTGTGAAAGAAAACAAATTTAAAACAACCAGAAATTAACCAAGTGGCATGTAGGGTTTTTTCCCTTAACCACTCATGTGTCTGGTGTTCACATACATGGCTGCCCTTTAATTTGTGGTCCTTCCAAGTGAGTTGAGGGACAACTAAAAAGGAGAAGTTGGATAACATTCAGCAGATGACCCCAGGACAGAAAAGTTGCTTTCTTGTGATTAAATCCATAATGACAAACACACCTGTGTAGTTCTGTGCTGTGACTTTGCTGTGTTTACTTCCCCCACCTCCCTGTCAGGGCTAAGTCAGTGTGCTGTAATCTAACCGAGATCAGTTCTCAGCTTCTTTTTGAAATGATCTGTCCAGTCATAAGGAGTTAGTTTTCCTACTAATTCAATAACTATATTCTTCAATAGGATTTTAATTTCAAACCATTGTTGTGGGGTATTAATGACTTCATTAGACCCAAGATAAATGATAAATGATAAACAGGTGTTTCATTAGTGAACAACTTATACAGATAATAGTAAAGAACCCCTGAAACAGTCCTGCTTCAGAAGATGCAGTCTCTGCCCTTCTGATGCTCTCCAAGAACCTGAGAAAGTACCCACCCCTACCCCCCACTTCTCTCCCTTCAGGTAAAGGTAATTATCTTTATTCATAGTAAGAGGTAAGTATAATTTTAAAAGTGAGTTACGTATCAGAAGTAGACATAATCACAGTCATACTGATACACAATCTGTTTGTTCCGTTGGCACTGTAATTTAGAAAATTAAACATGGGTACAATATAAAGTTCACATTCCTGAAGGCAATTTAACTAGAGCATTTTCTCTGTTGGCTACACTCTTGTCCATAGATCACATGCCATGTCAGGTCTCTCCACTCTTGTGATTAAAGAAAGCTCTGATGTAGACTGACCAAAGACTATGTGCCTGAATTAGAACTACAACTATATCTTAGAAGCACCATACCACTCCAGGTGAGCCATCATCTCCTGAAATACTCTTAGGTGTCAAGAAACTGTCATTCCTCCCTTAGAGCAGAATCCCAAAGACCCAACTGAGTGTTGGTTGAAAGCATGCTGAATCTAGTTCAACAGTCCATTACCCATTGGTAGGTAAGGTACACAGTAAGCAGTGGATTTCTTTCTTTGGGTATTTGTGTGACAGGGGCTCTTGTAGCCTAGGCTGGCCACAAACTTATTGTATAACTCAAGACTTCCTGGAACTTTGGGCCTTCCTGCCTCTACTTCGCCAATTCTGGTATTGTAGGAATGAACCACTATTTATATCTGGTAGGCGTGGTGGTGGGTGTGCATTATTCCTAGAGCTTCCTGCATGTTAGATAAGTACTCTACTAACTGAGCTGAGTACATGTCCTTTTAGACAGCATTGTTTGTGTTGCTGTATTGTTTAACTTTTAAACTCTTCCCAGACTGCTCTCTCTGTTTACAGCTCAGTTTTAAGTATACATATATAAGTATATATTGAAACTATATCAATTACTGAAATTTCAAACATTATTAATTTCACACGATGTGGGATCTAATGTAATTTTTCCCTCAGTGCACTGAAAAATCTAATAGTTGTTAAGGCAGTAATATTTCAGTAAACTAAATCGCTACAACAGCCCAGTTCACAAATAAGAACGCTTGATGCCAAGATGAGTTTCATTTCAGAGTGTGACATTCTGAAGAGTGTCCAAGTAGTCAGGGAATGATCCAGTGGACAGTCTCCTTAAGTTCCACGGATCTAAACAGAAGCTGCTTCTGAGATGTGATATGATGAAAGGAAGGTACTGCAAAGATGGGATGGGGTTCTTCTCCTGTAGGTAGATCTGGCTGGGATCATGTTCCTCTGCCTCACTGAGCTTCTGTCCTTCCACAGTAACTTGTATTTACAGAGGTGATTTGTAAGTAGGTTTCTGTGGCTTTTTAAGTGGAATAAGGCAAGTAT